GCGGCGCTACGCGACACCAACTTTTACGCTATTCGCGAAAAAAAACTTAGGGAGGCTGCTCCCCCCCCGCCAGGCGAGGGCTAAGTTGGAGACAGTGGTGGGACTAAGATGTTCGTTGGAGCAACTCCAAGCATTTTATCGACCTCTGATAGTGGTCTGCAAGATATGGCTCGCTCCGCGTCCCGTTGGCCATAAAATGATTAACCCTATTCCTGGCGGGCTCCGCCGGGACAAGAAACTGGCGGGGGGGGCCGATTCGGCCCCCCCCCCCTTCAGATCTCAAAAACTACAGATCTCAAAAACGGTCCGCTGACCGTCCCACTTCCTGGCCCGCTGGCTGGAAGCGAACTCCTCTGCCCGCTGGCAGTGACACTCACCGGTCCACTGACCGTCCCACTTCCACGGCCCGCTGACTGGAAGCGCCCTCCTCTGCCCGCTGGGTCTGGCACTCACCGGTCCTCTGACCGTACCCATTCCGCGGCACGCTGGCTGGATATGGAGCAGCGCCCACTGTCACCGGTCCGCTGACCATACCATACCTATCCGCTGTCTGTCACGTCTCCCTTACTAACCTGCTGGAGCCCACACTCACCAGATCGTCAAACGGTCCACTTTCTCGAGCCCACCAGCCGGTTGCCGCCGGGGGTTCTGCTGGACTAAGTGGACCGCAGAACTGGGCTAGCCTCCCCCCAGCACCAACTACCCGATGAGTCACCTATTCATTCGACTAACGTCAGGGGCGACTTACAGGTCCCCGTGCCGCTGCGGCAGCGGCGGTGGAATCAGCCGCCATTCCTTCTCTCCACGCCGAAACAGGATTACCGACTAACCTTCAGAGCCGCCGCGGCGCCCGCACCGGCCCGCGCAGAACGAACGATGATGCACCGACCGGCCGCCGCCGTGTGGCGTGTCAACAGTCTGCCTCGCCCGTGCCTGCCCCATCTGCACCACGCGCGATACCGCTCCCCGAGCTGGGTCTACTCGGCTCGTCACAGCGTTCCCGACAGCCGTCTCGCGGCCGCCACGCTCGAAGCTGCAGCAGCAGCCCGGACACCACCGACTGGGCAAGCAAAGACACCGCCGGCAGCTCCGAGTGCTCCTCTAGCTCCGCCATCGCATCACTGCGCGGCCACAAGCGGTCTCGGACGTTATTATCCCTCACCCCTCGACGTCGCTGCCTCCCCACCGGAACGGTCGGTTTCCTTAATTTCGGCACCATCCCCTCCACCTCCTGCCAGCCCCCTCCTCCCCGTGGCCTGAAACTGCCCACTGTCAGTGCCACCGCACTTCGTGCGCCCGCCGCGCGCTCCTCGGTAGTGTCGGTGGCCGAGGTAGTCTTTCCCCGCCTACCTCCCTCCGCCGGCCTCCGCGGTCAGCCGAGGTACCCGCCGCTCACCCCGGCCGGGTATGTACCTGCGTGGTGTCCCGGCGAATGGCGATCGCGACCTCTACGGCCTAATTTTCCCATACATTTGGCAATTTCTTTGGCGTCTTTCAGCAAGAAATCACGGCACTGACCCCATGCAGGACGCTGATCGACAGAGGGCGTGAAAGGAGTCGAGACCGAGTCGCGCCAAAAGAAAATTGGTATATGATGGTTACTCGTACCACCGATCGCCGAGCACGTGCTAATGGCACCTTACTGGATCGGATGAGACTGTAAGATTCATTAGAACGGCGAGGCCCACAGCCATACACACATCGGCGCCGCAAACGCCCGTACGTACTCGGCGGCGGCATTGTGTGAACCCATGACTCATATGAAACACCCAGTGACACCTAGCGGCCGGCCAGACATTGCACTGACGTGGAAGTGACTACAGGCGGCGGCGCCCCACGAACTGCACCCTTCCCTTTGCTGACAAACCATCACAGAGGGACCATCTTTCCCCACCTCCTCCCCACTCCCCCACTATTACATTATCTTCCCTCCAAACCCATTGTCTCCTCCTTTCATCAGTCCGTCTCGTCTTTCAGCAAGAAATCACGGCACTGACCCCATGCAGGACGCTGATCGACAGAGGGCGTGAAAGGAGTCGAGACCGAGTCGCGCCAAAAGAAAATTGGTATATGATGGTTACTCGTACCACCGATCGCCGAGCACGTGCTAATGTCGTGATTTATTGACAGAAAAACGATTTATAACGTCACATGACCTCAGATGACCTTTGCCGGTGCCCCTGTCAATCAGCGGCACCAGGATCATCACCGATGAGATAATCTTCCATAATACTGAAAGAATTGGGTGGTTTTGACTCGTTTACACGAAGCAGAAGGCGTTTCAATATTTTCCCATAGGCTTGCAATGTAAAGGTCACGAGTCTGGCCTGACCTCAGGTCACAGATATTAAAAGTCTGAGATATACAAATTGCACATACTGGTACCCTAACTAAAGCCTGAAGAGAAGAAATTGATCGGTAAAAAACTCTAGCTCTGGCGTGATTGCAAACTTTTCTGAGGTAGGGTCACCAAACCGCCTCTGGTGACCTGACCTGAGGTCAGATCAACTCAAAATTTTCAGCAATGTTGCGTAAAAGCCTTTTAGAAAAAGTCAGAAAATTTGAGCTTCCTAGCTCAAAGCGTTTGGGAGAAATAACCTAAAAACCTCAGGGGGGCTCCTGAGCCCCCCCCCGCCAGGAATAGGGTTAAGGAATTTTTTGGACCGATTGGTGTTCCCCCGTGTTGATCGGACGTCTAGAAGCTTAGATATTCGCGAAAAAAAAAACTTGTTGAACGTGCCAAAATACCTGCCAGCTTGCCATATCACCTGTTACTTGCTAATATACTGAAAACTTGCTAATGTACTAAAATCTTGCTAATTTGCTTGGTATTCACATGCCTAAAGGCTAAATACCACGAAAAATTCGCTAAAAAATCTTGTTGAACTTGCCAAAATACCTGCCAGCTAGCTGTAACATCTGTTACTTGCTATTTGCTAATGTACTGAAAACTTGCTAATTTACTTGATATTTACATGCATAAATACCACGAAAAACTTGTTACTTTGTGACGTTACGACTTATAAAGAAGCCATGACTTTACGTCGCCTTTTGATAGTGGTATTTCAAATCGTTTATTTCGGGCTATTAATAATGCTCTCATTAATTGTGTTACCTGCCCACTCTACCTACACAATTCTCCCGCCTCTCCCCTAAATTTCGGATCGAATCGGAAATTTCGGAAATTTTGGATAGGCTTTCAAAATTAGAAACGTTTTTTTCCTGGGTCACCCGGTACCTATATGTCATGACCAGGGATGACCAATTCCCAATTAGGGTAAGGTGCCTAATTAGCGACCCTTTCCGATTTGCGACCTACCTCCCTACAGAAAAACTGGCAGGAGAAAACGGGGTAAAAACATCGTCAAAAGGTCAGCCATACTTTGGTTATCAAATTAAATTATTTTCCGGTAGTCGATGTTTCTGGTGGGACATTTCAGGTGAGTTTAAATAAAAATAACGAGTTTCTTATCCAAAACGTGTGTATTTGGGCCCTCTCTGACGAAAAGCGATGCACATTAGGATGATGCACCTTCTTTATTCTTAATCGACATTCCTTTTTTAATTGATTGCCGTTTTCCCATAGTGGATCGCTCAACTGTGCATAGCATGGCGGTTAAAAATGTGTCGCAACTGATATTTCCTATTTGCGCCTGACATGGTCGCAAATAGCTCAAGAAGAGAAAGAAAGGGGAAAAGAGAGAAATAAAAATGAGGTGTTGGTGAAGCTTGCAATGTGTGGCAGGGGATGCCAAATGTCGTCACCGACTGCAAGGGTGCCGAATTCAGCGCGGACCTCGAATATCATACAAGATAGCCCGCAAAATTTGGGTTTCCGCCTTCTTTTCGCCTTCGGTGCATCACGTGATCAGTTTTTACTTACGTAAATGTGTTGGATGAACGTTCCTGTTCGAGTAATTGAGTGCTTTGCGTATAGGCTACCTTTTTTGAGATCATATTTCATCTTTACAGGCGTCGCATTTTTTGCCATTTTTAACATGGGGAAACCCATAGACTTATTAGCGACCCTCCCCGGTCGCTAATCGGGAAGAGTTCCCTATTAGCGTTTTTTGCAATGGTTTGCCAAAATGCTCACTACAATTAAGTTAGTGAATATTGGGGCAGAAAATGACTATATTTTAATAGAAAAATGAACGATCTCTCCGAAAATCAAGCCAGTAACACAGTGGCACCTACAGAGCGTGAGCAATGACGGTTCAAATTAAGTGGGTCGCTAATTAGGCACCTTACCCTACTAGGAGATGCGCAAAATTGATGTCCGGAAAGGTAGTGAAGACGGCAAGTCAAAAAATTTGTGGACGCTTTTGATTTTCTGCAAAAAAAAAAACACAGAGTGAGCCCTTTGGGCCCATCCCAACGAGTCGCGGGAGCCATTAGGGCCGAGTTGATCACCTTCGGGATCACTGGGCCTGGGGTGGCTGACGTCTTCCTGTTAGGACGAAAACTTATCGATGGGACAGGCCACTCGCCTGCTAAAATGGTCACCGCGTATAACATAGGTACATCGGTCATCAGGTACGGGTCATTCCATCACATTTCCACGGTCATCACATGACCTCGGCCAGAGAGTCAGTCCAGTTTAGACCCAGACCAAAGTGACAAAGTCATGCGATCAAAAATGTGAACAGTTTTATCCTGACCGCCGACGATAGAGAGGGCGGGCGATTATTTACCTGTTGCTGGTGTTGGTTGTCGGACTCCGTCCCCTCTTGAGGTGAGATGTTAGTTTCACATCGTTTCGACCAGAGTACTTTTCCGGCCGTCGTCAGGTGTTCTTTGGCTTTTACAAGAACCTGGATGTTGTGGAGTCCTTCTAATTCTTTGGGTCTTTCTAAGGGCAAAGAACACCTGACGCCGGCCGGAAAAGTAACTGGTTGAAACGTTGTGAAACTAACATTTCACCTCAAGATGGGAATGAAAGTCCGACAACAAACATTAGTAATACTAACACCTCGTCTTAAGCATTTCGGATTATTTACCTGGTACCGTCGTGGAGTCGTGGTGTCACTGTAGAGACGGACGTGGTAGGACGGGTAGTACCGCTGTCGCAGGAGGTGTGTTCTGTCAGCGGACGGCATCCCCAACACCCCACGGGCGGCCGAGACGACAGAGGCCAGCGGCAGCAGCGCGCAGAGAGCGGCGACCGTGCCCAGACCCGCCCGGCCGACACGGGGCGTCATGGCGGAATGCGACGTCCCGCCGCGCCGCGGCTCCCGTCGCCGGGCAGTGACGCTGGCCCGAGCAGTCGCACGCCGACATTCCCATGCTGCCGCGGCTGGTTGTTACTGTACATACTTATCAGGTACTTACATATATACCTGTAGGCTGGCGAATCGTCCGCGGTGGTCACTGCATTGTGCTCTCTAGCTATGGTAGGTATGCTTACATATCCCGCGCCGGGCCGGGAGGGGGGTGGTTAGACACCCCTTGCGTTTGTTCGACATTTCATTATGTTTGTCAGTCTTCTGCTAAAAGAGGTGCAGTTAACCCGCGCCCCGTAGGGCTATCGGTTGACCCTATTCCACCCGTAAGGGGGGGGGGGGCGTTTCGGTCCCCCCTAGGATCTCGGAAAGTTACCGGCCGATTTTCAAAATTCAAACGGCGTTGGATAGCCCTTACACGGAACTACCTTGTGACCAAATTATATTGACCTCGCTTCAACCGATGACGTCACAGGTCAGGCCAAATGTCGAACTTTCACCGTTTATAGGCATTTCAAGAAATGTCTTGTAAAATCGAGTAAAAGGCATGTTATTGAAAATCATCGCTGGGGGAATGGTCCGTATAACACATATTTTGCTATCTGAGGTCATTGACACCAGGTCAGGTCACAGAGGTCAGGTCACTGAAGGTCACAATACGAAAGTGTCGTGTGATGCATGTTTTATGGTCCATTTTACATGGCAAATGATTTATGTGGGTCAGGCAACCTTTGGGGCCAGTTTAGGTTATGTTCTGGTGAAGGTCAGGTCAATGTCTGGTCAAGTTAGGTCCAATTTCAAAGTTGATATTTTGCAAAAAAAAAGATGGGTATTGATTCGATGCAGCTCGTCACGAGGAGTCTAATGGTGGTCTTTGTTTTGCGCTACGAGGTCTAGAATTGCTATTCAGCGTATGCAATTTCATCAGCCGTTTCGAATATGGTGACCTCAGGTGACCTCGGTGACCTCAAAAGGTCAACTTTACGTTTTGGCCTATTGCAGCCATTCTATAACTCAGGAACTACTGGGCCGATCGTGACGAAAACACCACCAGTCGATTCAGCGTATGCAATTTCATCAGCCGTTTCGAATAAGGTGACCTCAGGTGACCTCGGTGACCTTGGGAGGTCACATGACCGTTGTGGCCCCTATTGCAGCCATTCTATAACTCAGGAACTACTGAGCCGATCGCGACGAAAACACCACTAGTGGAATCAGCGTATGCGATTTCACCAGCCGTTTTGAATATGGTGACCTCAGGTGACCTCAGTGACCTTGGGAGGTCACATGACCGTTGTGGCCTAGGGCAGCCATTCTATAACTCAGGAACTACTGGGCCGATCGCGACGAAACACAACCAGTGGAATCGGCGTATGCGATTTCATCAGCCGTTTCGAATATGGTGACCTCAGGTGACCTCGGTGACCTTGGGAGGTCACATGACCGTTGTGGCCTATGGCAGCCACTCTATAACTCAGGAACTACTGGGCCGATCGCGACAAAAACACCACCAGTCGAATCAGCGTATGCAATTTCATCAGCCGTTTCGAATATGGTGACCTCAGGTGACCTCGGTGACCTTGGGAGGTCACATGACCGTTGTGGCCTATGGCAGCCATTCTATAACTCAGGAACTACCAGGCCGATCGCGACGAAAACACCACCAGTCGATTTAGCGTATGCGATTTCATCAGACGTTTCGAATATGGTGACCTCAGGTGACCTCGGTGACCTCAAAAGGTCAACTTTACGTTTTCGCCTATTGCAGCCATTCTATAACTCAGGAACTGCTGGGCCGATCGTGACGAAAACACCACCAGTCGATTCAGCGTATGCGATTTCATCAGCCGTTTCGAATATGGTGACCTCAGGTGACCTCGATGACCTTGGGAGGTCACATGACCGTTGTAGCCTATGGCAGCCATTCTATAACTCAGGAACTACTGGGCCGATTGCGACGAAAACACCACCAGTGGAATCAGCGTAAGCGATTTCATCAGCCGTTTCGAATATGGTGACCTCAGGTGACCTCGGTGACCTTGGGAGGTCACATGACCGTCGTGGCCCAGTAAACATGCCGACGTCGGCCCGACGTCGGCCAACGTCGGGGTGACGTTGGCATCTCGGCATCGGCATGCCGACGTCGGCCCGACGTCGGTCCAACCTCGGCACGACGTCGGCTGGATGTCGGATATGCCCGCATGTACCGACGTCCAGCCGAGGTCCAGCCGACGTCGGGCCAACGTCGGACCGAGATCAATTGCTGAGGTCCAGCCGACGTCGGGCCGACGTCGGGGCGACGTCGGACCGACATCGGCCGCTGTTTTGACCGTTAAAATAATACAAAATGCATGTTTCATGTTTCATAAAAAGCTTCTGTATTTAAAATATCCTCAGGAAACTCACATCTTCCTCCACGCCGCAACCCCCTGATCCGGACTGGACGGGAAACTTTATCCCATTTGGGATTGCCCGTAAGCCGAGCTCGCCCGCAGCCGGGTGCGGTGAGTGCTTGGGGGCTGCTCGGCCTATCCTTTGGTCAGGCTCAGCCCCGGCAACTCACCAGGGCCGGGCCCAGTTCATATAGAAAGGCCAGTCGGCAAGTGTTACTTTGCCAAAGTGCCACTTATCAAAGGGACACCTTGGGAAACGTTGGTGCAGGTGTGTAAGAGTGGCTATATGAATCCATTGTGCGGTCGCCCTTTCCAATAAGTGTCACGTAACAGCAATATGGGACCAGGGACTTCTATATTAAAGGTAGTGTGCCACCTTTGAAAGATTTCCCATTTTATTTTTCCTAGGATAAGAAGCTTCTGTTTTTACCTAATATCGCAAAAAAATCAAAAATGGGCCTGGAATAGTGCCTTTTTCGCCTAAAAGTTTTTCGGTTTTTAGATATGTATAACAACTGTAGTGGGCTCACCTGCAAACAGGCGTCGGGCAACAATCGCGAATGCGGCGCACTTGTGACAATAAGCAAAGGTCATTATAGTGTTACGACCATACGACGTACGGGAATGAGTTATCAGCTGTCTAATCGTAGACAACACAATGTCGAGCCTTAAACTGTAAGCCCGTATTGGTATTGTTTCTTTTATTTGGCTGTCGAACATTATTTATGGTTTGAAATATGATTTTATGTAAAATAATTGATATGAAAAAGCCGTCTTATAAGTTATGACCCCATTTCACCACACGCAAGTGGCAGAAATGACAATGATCAGCTGACGCATTTTTCTTGGCCGAAGTCAGAGCGCGCGGCCCGACGCACCACGCGTATTTGGAAATTCCGACCTCAACGAGCATCAGAAGCCACCTAACAGGCGTGTTCGAAACCGCAGGAGATGATGATGAACGGGTTTATCGAAACTTGATTGGATGAGCATATCGGTAATAGCGATTTCAGTGTGTGCATTTATTGTTCATAGTGGTGTGAAATGTGGTTGGGGTACGACCGACAACCCGTCGGGGCGAATTTCGCACTGGGGTACTCAAAATTTGAAGAATTTAAGACGTTTCCATGAGTTTTGAAGGTATGGATAAGTTCTAAAAATCCGGTTCTCCTTATCTGGGCCATTAACTCCATACGGTCCAAGAAAGCTGGCACACTACCTTTAACCCGCGCCCGGCTGGGGGTCCTGGATTTCCACGCCCTGCTGGGGGGGGGGGTGTTTGAACACCCCCCCTTGTAACTCGGCTCCTGGGCCACGTAGCGATACGCGGAAGGCGGCGTTCGAAAGAGCGTAAAAAATAATGACGAAATCACTTCGGTCAATTTTTTGGTCAGGTCAAAGGTCAGGTCACCAGAGGTCATTGAAGGCAAAATTTCGCCGATTTCCAGGTCGAATGTCGAAAACTTCCAAGAAGCTAACGCATAACTCGGGAACCAATAGAGCTACAGCGCCGCGGAAAAGCGCATTCGATAGCCCTATTAACGCCCTTTCTGAATAATTCTCTCAGACTTGACCTAACGTCAACGGTTTTGCCTGCAGGGGGCAAAAACTGCAAAAATGGCCGATTTTTTCGGAAACAGTTTTTCTGCAATAACTTTTGACCCAAGCATTGTACGAGCTTACTTTTACCGGCATCGTGTTCCTCTCGTCAAGACGCATCGAATGAACTATAACTTGACCTTGAAAGGTCAACTTGAAAATTTGACCTCAGGTCAAGGTCATGACCTGACCGGAAAGGGTCATGTTGCATATCAGTCGATCCGTATCGTCGAGCTGAACACATATAAGGCGTTTTCATCGCTCTAGCATGCCTCTATCAAAAGTTATTTGCGAAAAACTGTTAGATACCATTCGTGACCTAAGATGACCTCAGGGCACAAACAAGGGTCACGGACACCATTTTCATATTCAGTGTGTCTAAAACACTTGTAATTTGGTGTTAGGGAGTGTTTATAATGTCTTTTGTCCAAAAGAGGCGCATTTCAATTTTCTCCCATTGACTTATAATGGGGAGGTCGCAAAATTGACCTGACCTTAGGTCATCGATATCAAAATTCTGAGATATACATTTTGTACATGCTATTGCTCTTAGCAATCGCTGAAAGTTTCAAAGCGATCGGTCACTCGGTGTAGCTATGACAGACATTGAAACTTTTTATGAGGTGAGGTCACTTCAAGTGACCTGGTGACCTGACCTTGAATGACCTTGGTCTGAAATTTTCACAACATGTGTAGAATTGATGTATGATAAGGTGTACCAAAAACGGCGGCGCTCCGCGCCGCCGTTTTTGAGATATTCGCGAAAAACCACAAGGGGGGGTGTTCAAACACCCCCCCCCAGCAGGGCGCGGGTTAATTGGACCCAGGGTGCTCGCCAAGAAGACCAATGTCTCCATCCTATCATCCTTCCGGCTCTGAAATGGTCTTGTCAGACCGAAAGGGCATAACCCAACAAAACAAACTAAATTCGCTAACTGGCTGCGTGGTGTAGTGGTTAGCGCACTAACCTCGCGTTCAAATGACATGGGGCTCGAATCCCGCCGCCGGTTGATATTTTTGGCGCGTTGTCCCAATAAACATGCCGACGTCGGCCCCGTCGGTCCAACGACAAACGATCTCGTCAACCTCGGCAAACGACCTCGGTCCGACGTCGGCTCGACGTCGGCTGGACTTCGGCTGGACGTCGGAACATGCGGGCATATCCGACGTCCAGCCGATGTCGGGCCGAGGTTGAACCGACGTTGGGCCGACGTCGGCATGTTTACTGGGCCACAACGGTCATGTGACCTCCCAAGGTCACCGAGGTCACCTGAGGTCACCATATTCGAAAAGGCGGATGAAATCGCATACGCTGAATCGACTGGTGGTGTTTTTGTCGCGATCGGCCCAGTAGTTCCTGAGTTATAGAATGGCTGCCATAGGCCACAACGGTCATGTTACCTCCCAAGGTCACCGAGGTCACCTGAGGTCACCATATTCGAGACGGCTGAGGAAATCGCATACGCTGATTCGACTGGTGGTGTTTTCGTCGCGATCGGCCCAGTAGTTCCTGAGTTATAGAATGGCTGCCATAGGCCACAACAGTCATGTGACCTCCCAAGGTCACCGAGGTCACCTGAGGTCACCATATTCGAAACGGATGATGAAATCGCATACGGTGATTCGACTGGTGGTGTTTTCGTCGCGATCAGCCCAGTAGTTCCTAAGTTATAGAATGGCTGCCATAGGCCACAACGGTCATGTGACCTCCCAAGGTCACCGAGGTCACCTGAGGTCACCATATTCGAAACGGCTGATGAAATCGCATACGCTGATTCCACTAGTGGTGTTTTCGTCGCGATCGGCCCAGTAGTTCCTGAGTTATAGAATGGCTGCAATAGGCGAAAACGTAAAGTTGACCTTTTGAGGTCACCGAGGTCACCTGAGGTCACCATATTCAAAACGGCTGGTGAAATCGCAAACGCTGATTCGACTGGTGGTGTTTTCGTCGCGATCGGCTCAGTACCCAGTAAACATGCCGACGTCGGCCCGACGTCGGCCGACGTCGGGGTGACGTCGGCAACTCGGCATCGGCATGCCGACGTCGGCCCGACGTTGGTCCAACCTCGGCACGACGTCGGCTGGATGTCGGATATGCCCGCATGTTCCGACGTCCAGCCGAGGTCCAGCCGACGTCGGACCGAGATCAATTGCTGAGGTCCAGTCGACGTCGGGCCGACGTCGGGGCGACGTCGGACCGACATCGGCCGCTGTTTTGACCGTTAAAATAATATAAAATACATGTTTCATGTTTCATAAAGAGCTTCTGTATTCAAAATATCCCCAGGAAACTCAAATCTTCCTCCACGCCGCAACCCCCTGCTCCGGACTGGACGGGAAACTTTATCCCATTTGGTTGGGATTGCCCGTAAGCCGAGCTCGCCCGTAGCCGGGTGCGGTGAGTGCTTGGGGGCTGCTCGGCCTATCCTTTGGTCAGGCTCAGCCCCGGCAACTCACCAGGGCCGGGCCCAGTTCATATAAAAGGCCAGTCGGCAAGTGTCACTTTGCCAAAGTGCCACTTATCAAAGGGACACTTTGGGAAACGTTGGTGCAGGTGTGTAAGCTCGGGGTTACATGAGCAGAGTTAATACGCATTACAAACGGACTACAATGGTGAGCGAATAGGAAAATCCGTTCCTGATACGCATTTACTTGCTCATGTAACCCCGGTACCTATATGAGTGGCTATATGAATCCATTGTGGGGTCGCCCTTTCCAATAAGTGTCACGTAACAGCAATGGGACCAGGGACTCTATATGAACTGGACCCAGGGTGCTCGCCAAGAAGATCAATGTCTCCATCCTATGATCCTTCCGGCTCTGAAATGGTCTTGTCAGACCGAAAGGGCATAACCCAACAAAACAAACCAACTTCGTTAGCTGGCTGCGTGGTGTAGTGGTTAGCGCACTAACCTCGCGTTCGAATGACACGGGGTTCAAATCCCATCCCCGGCCGATGATTTTGGCGTGTTGTCCCAGTAAACATGCCGACGTCGGCGACTGGGGGGCTCGAATCCCGCCGCCGGTTGATATTTTTGGCGCGTTGTCCCAATAAACATGCCGACGTCGGCCCCGTCGGTCCAACGACAAACGATCTCGTCAACCTCACCAAACGATCTCGGCCCGACGTCGGCTCGACGTCGGCTGGACTTCGGCTGGACATCGGAACATGCGGGCATATCCGACGTCCAGCCGATGTCGGGCCGAGGTTGAACCGACGTTGGGCCGACGTCGGCATGTTTACTGGGTAGTTCCTGAGTTATAGAATGGCTGCATTAGGCGTCAATGCCGAGTAGACCTGTTGAGGTCACCGAGGTCACCTGGGGTCACGAGCTTCGAAACGGCTGATAAGATCGTACCCCTTGATTCGAATGGTGTTTCGTTCGTTCCGACGGTCCAGTAGTTCCTGAGTTATATATCGGGGTTACATGAGCACAGTAAATACGTATTTAGCCGCTAATTCGAATTAGGAACGCATTACCGACTCATGTAGCCACCTGCTAGTACGAATCGGCGATCCGATCCGCGGTTACATGAGCAAAGCAAATACGTATCACGATCGGATTCACCGCTAATGCGAATCAGGAGCGTACTACCGACTCATGTATCCACCTGCTAATACGAATCGGCGGTCCGAACAAAATCCGCTGGGAAACAGGCTTAGAAGCGAATAGGACCAAGATACGCATAGATATAAAAGACTAGATGGGACATTGGCAGTGTTTTAGTGCGTGCGACTGGCCGCCATGTTTGTGAGGGCGGGAATCTGCGGCGCTGTGTAAACACTACGGGAGGGGGGGGGGGGGGGTATTTGAGACTGATTTTGTGGTATTTTTCGACCGAAAAGTGCTAATCTTTTTTGTTCACGGCATTCTTTGGAATGTGTAGACTGTGGAACAAGTGCTGAAATATGCTTATCTATTGTAATTTGGCTACGTTAGCCTTAGACATGTTGCACTGTTGACGCTGATGAAGAATAGGCGGCACCAAAGGTAGATTTGCTTGGCATGCCTGTTTTAGATTTAATTCAGTTCCCATGTTTTTTTTTGTGCACACCACAATCCTTTAATTATTCTTGCATGGATAGAGCATCAGTCATATGATTTTTCCAACACATCCTCGAAGGTTTTTACTACCCATCTCAGTCGGTGACACACCAGGGAAATAAGCTAAAATTAGAGCGCTCTATTTGTTGCTCCCGCTACTTCACCGTCTCCCATAGGGTCCTGTGTTGAGCTGGTGTCGAGGCTCTAAAAATGACGCCGATTTTTGCACCCTTCTCACGAAAACCGCTCGGACCGCCTGGAAACCAATTGTTCCGCTCTAAAAATTTCATGATCGACGGGAAAATGAATGAGGAAAAGATTGGTCCTGAAATAATTCTGAACTCCCTGTAGAACAAATCGAAATATGGCTGCAAACTAGGAGCATGTCAAAATCGACAAAACAATACAAATAAACTTACCGGGATTTTTTTATTTTCCATGCATCTGTGTATGAAATCAGTCGGTTTTTCGGAAAGATCATCTTCTGTTTAATAAATAATTCCACAATTGCAATCGAGAAAAAAAACATTTCCGCTGTGACAGCAGTTTTGGCATTGTGCCAGTAGTGTGGCGTGCGCGGTGCTGCGTGGTCGTCGGGACGGAGTTGTGAGTATTTTCGGTGTTTTAAATGGTTGATGGCCATTTGAACCAGCTTCATATTATTTCCTACAAATTTTTGCATCAAATTATTGCTTTGAAAGACCATTGAAACCCCTTATCTCTTCATGAAACACGATCATATTCATCGTCGACGAAAATGGCGCGGGACTCCATGTGCATTCCGATCGAAATAAATCGTAAATTAAATAATATTCGATGAAAAGTATCATATTCTAGTGACACATTTTCATAAAATAAGGCATAAACTTTGCAAGGAAGTCAACATTGGATAATTGGATTCTTATTTTGCTCACATATCCTTGTAGTAGTCAAATGGCTCAATTGTTAGATAGATGTTAGTATATGTTTTGACTTGATGTTTGCTGTGAAACCACCCAGCCACTTGCTGGTTGAGTGGTTTTCTGATAATTACCTGATAATCATTTCTCCTTTTCCTTAAAAGAAACTAAAATTCCTTTCAAAGTAATCCATTTTATGGAAAGGCGGCTTGCTCATTGGCATTTCATGTTCTTGTTTTGTTATTGCTGGCAGTATTTTGATACAATAATGCAATATGAATTTTTTGCAATAATAAAACCTAAGACAAACTTAGTTAATGCGTCAATCAAACAGCCAACAGAAAGATTGTGAGTCCTTGTGACGTGAAGTAGAATATTCTATGAATGTGTTATATAGAATATGCCAAATATTTAATTAATTATTATTTGATACTGATAGCTGAGCAGGTGAATTATGCCACAATATAATTTCATTTTCTGGTTTTGAAATAGCCGGCAGTATTTTACTTCAACAAATGTAATATACATGGAATACATGTTGTTATGTTACCTATGTTAAAAGTCTAATAACAGCCAACAGAAGGAGCTGTTTCAGCAGATAATGTTTGTACCTTATGCATTACCTTTCTTTTCTGCAGGACCATGCTTCCGCTGGGTGGTCGACATTTGCCTCCTGAAGAAGTTGAGCAACATGAAGACCACCAGATGAGGTGTCTGCAGTTCATGTGGAACTCTGCAGACTACAAGTGTTATGCCAATCACAACCAAAGTGCTGTGATCATGGAGGCATGAATCTCATGACAACACTTCAGATTTGCAGTTGAACCAAAGTGTGATTCAAACCACCTGTGGCATCTCACTCAATGTGTGAACAGTGTGATTATTGTGCAGTGTTCAGCTGCAACTAAGACATTTATTAGTGACTTGTTTTGCAATTAGCCACCAAAAGCATTTTTGGGCTGGCTGCTGTAATTTGTTGTGCACTGCGCAATAGTGGTAGTGTTTTGTCACTTGTCAAGTTGTCAGTTGTGCATGTTGCATGTTTCTCTTCCCTCGGCCCTCATTATCAGTTAAGTGGTGAATTGGCATCACTCAGTCTCCCCAGATCTCCATTGACTGTCTGTCAACCACCTAACTTGAGATGGTATTTGCTAATAGTGTCAGAAAAGAAGTGATTGTAGACATTTTTAGGAATATGAGCTCCGTTTCATGCGTGTTCCAGTGGTCATTTTGTCACATGTCCCATAGTGTAATAAATGGAAACTGTTGTTCCCTTTTGAAGGTACTCGCGGATGCAGAAAGCGTTGGGCCTAATTATTAAACGCACCCTCCTATCAGCGACGCACGAAATCGACAAATATCATCCTTTTTAGAACAGGGGGAAACGAAAACTTGTGAACATAGCTGTACCTACAACAGTGCATAAGGAATTGAAATTCTGGGAGTTTTTGAAATTCGGAGAAACTCAAGTTGTCGACAGGTATGCCCCCTTGCACGTCAAAGACCGCCTAAAAAACAAACGTCTACAAATGAAGGCAGTATTCGTATGTTCGTTGTAATTGCAGCAGCCTAGCAACATGTATTGCGGTCCGATGGCGAATTACACTCGTGCTCAAAAACTATGCCGGTAACTGCCAATGCACTTAGGTCATAGGTGAAGAGAGGAAGGGTTATGTCATATGTCAACATCATAGAAATGGCTTCATCTGAGCTGTGCCTATTGTACATAATTCAACCAATCTATGCATTTCGTTTCTTGCAATCTACTCATGCTTTCACTCCAGCTTCAGAGTAATCATCCCATATTGTACGTCTTAAGATATTGATTTCTATGGCGGTTTGCAATTACTAGCCACGTCTCACCTCAGTTTGGTGGCCCCGCATCGGCCCACTCGGCCGCTCTAAAATTGACTTACGGAGGAGGATGGTGGCTTTTATTTTAGCTTCTCCGCCGACTGCGGGGAGCGCCGTCGCCGAGGTAGGAGCAATAATCAGCTTATGTTTGGGACTAATTTCCACGCTTAATTGACATTTTAATGTTATTTTAATTAATTCATGTTAATCTTTGACGCATTCTCTTTCTATTGATACCATCCACCGGTCTGAGAATTACTGCCCTGCCGCGTAAGGGCCGATAAAAGATCACGCTTTTAGGGGTATCTCTTCAACATGGGGCAGGAGCAATAAAAAGAGCGCTCTAATTTTAGCTTATTTCCCTGGTATGTCACCAACTGATCTGTAGTAACAGGGAAAGGGATTTTTACCACTCATTCGTAGTAAACACGGCCGTGTTTAGCACCATATTGTAGTAAACGTCGCGGGTGGCATTTAGCATAGGGACAGCCGGGAACCGGAAGATTGACCGATTAGTGATGATTGTGTGATTGATATTTTATTAATATTATGAATATTAGTTAATAATTTGTGTATGAATTTAAAAGCGATACAGATTATGAATGTATTGAATTGTTTTTCGTTCTCCAAATTTTATGGTTGAGGTATCATTTTATCAAAAAATTTGTTGATGCGTTTGTGAATTATATAATTTAATTCAGCACTTCACTTTGACTATTCAAATCGTTGGCGTTTCGTCGGCGTCCTTGGTCGGCGTCCATTTCTGTTCAGGTTGTTTCTTGATAGTGGATACTTTGCTATCGGATTTGTCATGGGTAAGTCAACAAAGTGGCTGTGGCTAGTGCTCTGAATACCTGTTGTATTTTTTAGGGTGAGTAAAAAAACGAGTTTTCAGATTATAATGCAGAACCCCGCAAGATACCTATGCGTATTGGTGAGAAAACACTACAGTGGAATCCGCTTTATAAGTCCTCGGATAATAAATCCAGTCACTTATTGTGGCTGCTTCAGCTGTTCACCCATAGATGCCGTTGATGAACGAGTGTCACCCCGAAACCCTTACCTGGGCCCTGTTCGGTCGCTGTTTTTATATCAGCGTGCTGTCGGTTTTCCCCATATCAGGAAGTTATTGCTGGCGCGGCTTGGCCTCCCATTGGTCTAATGAATAGACCACTTACCTTACTTTACCTTACCTTTGTGGTGATCGGGTTTATAAAGGCCACTTGGCCTGGGGATCCCGCTCTCATCGAGCTCTTGTGTCGGGATACAGGCTAGGCTCTCAGGGATAGGGGGTGTGAATTCTTGAATTCAACCAATGAGGAGCCAAGAAGCAGCAGCATGGTCGCAGCCTGCTGATAAATAAACGGGGTACGAACAGAGCTCTGCTTATGAGTGCTACAGAAGGAAAATGCTGCCAATGTTTACACTCGAATTTCAAGCTGTTAATACCGCATGCTTCAATCTGGGAAAATGAGAAATGTCCTGATCATTGCTTGACGATCAACACATGAAAGCAATGGTTGCTCCAAGTCAGATAACCTGCACCTTACTATATTATTTCCATAACCTCACTTCCAAGGGGAGGGAGAATATTTTGAGCCCAATCCCAGCCCTGCACTATTCAAGATTATTGACTGTATTTCGTGGTGATGAACAACACATTTTCGCTATGTCTTCTTTATCCAATCTCCTTATTTTCTTAGTTGTTATGTTCTTATCAGAAATACAGGCCCATAACTACTGAAATTATTGAGCTACAGCATCACAAAAAAATGCTAGGCATTGTGCATTGCGTTTTAAATGTTCTTTTCACAGTATGGCATCTGGTTTGTCATAGATTAACAGGTATAGCAAAGATTCATTATGGTTCACAACCCAGTTTTAAGATTAGTTTCCGGGTTAGGGGATAGAGGCAAAAACTCAGATAAAGAAGGCATAATAAATACGCTGTTCCACACCTTAAAAATCCGTCTATTAGCTCAAACATTGAACAGAGGAGTTTCCCACGTCACCTGGTGTCAGGCACCGCCTGCAACTACGCTCCGCCATTGGAGACTAGAACACCAGACACCTTTGATACAGACAAACTTTGAAGTGTCTGCGCTACATGTCATGAAACGATGCTAAAATTTTCCTAGTAGTGTTTTCTCACCAATGCAAGTAATTTGTGGGGTTCTGCATTATAATCTGATCTTCATAGCATAATTTCTTTCTTTCATTTCCTGACTTGCATATTTCATTTGTTTTTTGTTACGTCTATGACCCCTTGGTATTTTGGAAATGCCAAGGGGTTAGGTATAGCAATCCGCCCTCAGCCAGCCGCATGATGGAAAAGGCCATGCCCTGGTAAGGGTAAAATGGGCTTCATTTAATATATTATAAATGGGTTTTAATGTTATTCGATTTGAATGAAGTTGATCGATGAAGATTGGGAAGCCTTCAAGGCCCTGTTTCACCGGTGATAGCAGCACGCTGCTATTACATGTGTCAAATTGAGTTTCCATGGAAACAACAAACCATGACATTGTCAATCTGTGTGATGTCATCAAATAGTGCTGCTAACATCTTCACAGCTGTGCGATCAAACAAATGTAACAAACGCAATCAACAAGACAGCAACTCTGTTCCAAATGCAGCTATGAAAAGCTCACGGATTACACGAAACGTCATTAGTGTGACATCATACATTACGTCAGCTCGAGCAATTAGATAGTAGCGTGTTGCTATCACCGGTGAAACGGCCCTGGACCTCCTTCACTTGAATAAGTCACAAGGTTGATGTTTTTTTCTAATTTCTTTGATCCTTCATTAGCTCATAAGCTTGAGATGTTGGATACTGTTTGTTGGAGTGTGGTGATCAACAGACCCCTTAATTTATTTTCCAGAGGAGTTTCTTCACAATGAAAGAATATTTATCAGCAGTAAGCCGCCAAAACAACCCCATTTGTGCTGCCTTGGCAATGGGAAAGGCAGAAGTATGCCTGGAAAACGGCCTGGTCAAAGGAAGTTTCAGGGTAAGTGTTAATATCCTCATAACATGGCCCAATTTATACTGGTTTCTAGCAAATCTGACTTGAAGTTGCTCTTTTTATGATGTCCCAGTTCCTTTAAAGAATTGGCGATTTCCCCAAATACTGGTTTTAAGCACATTCATCCTTCCCCCTGCCAGTGTCCCAAAATTATATTTTTGCTTGGGTGCTAGAGGAGAAAATTGCTGACCAAAAAGGTTGGGTGAAAAATTGTTGGTCAGAAGAAGCCCAAAGAGTGGGAAAGGATGAAAACGTTAATTTATCTACTATTGTGGCAGAAAGAGAATGCAAAACAACCATCCACGCAGCCTACTCTTCCTTCGTGGAATTGGGAGTGGAAAATTGGTCACCTATAAATTGGACGTGAGAGTGGAAAATGATTTTCATTTAAATGTCGTTTCCCACCCAAATCAACAATTTTTGGGACACTACCCCTGCGTTCCTTTCCACTGCTATAACCAAACCTTTCCGTGACCCTGCTTAGTACCTTTTTGCAACCGCTGAAGAGAACACCGACTGAGAAGAAGCCACTGAAGTTGGACGCTTGGACCAAATCTGCTACGCGTCCTATACCGCCTCATCATCATCATCATGGTTTTAAGCACTTCTTATTCTTTCACATTGTGAAATTTATGACACCCCAGTACACTCACCTCAAAAATGCCTATTTATCATTTAACCCGCGCCCCGTTGGGCTCTGCCGAGCAACGCGCCCGGTTGGGGGGGGGGCCATTTTGGCCCCCCCCCCTAAGATCTCGAGAACCACGCAACATAGCGACAAGCGGTAAACGGCGTTGGATAGCCCCAACGGGGAACTACCTTGTGACCCAATTTTATTGACCTAGGTCAAACCGATGACGTCACAGGTCAGGTCAAAGGTCCAATTTTCACCGTTTACAGGCACTTCAAGAAATGCGTTGTAAAATCGAGTAAAATGCATTTCATTGAAAATCATCGATGGGGAAATGTTCTTCAAACACATATTTTGCTATTTGAGGTCACTGATACCAGGTCAGGTCACAGAGGTCAGGTCACGGGGGGGTCACAATATGAAAGTGTCGTGTAATACATGTTTTATGGTCCATTTTACATGACAAATGCGATTATATGGGTCAGGCAGCCTTTGGGGCCAGCTTAGATCACGTTTTGGTCAAGGTCAGGTCAAGGTCAGGTCAAGGTCAGGTCAAGGTCAGGTCAAATTAGGTCAAATTTCAAAGTCAATATTTTTGCATAAAATGGGTATCGAATCGATGCTAAAAATTGAGTTCAAAAATTTGACGTCATCATTTTTGAACAGTTTTTTCGCTATAACTTGGCCAAAATACGAGATATCGATCTGAAATTTGGTATGTATATAGAAGAGCGCTGGGACTATCACATATATTCCGGTTTTTTTCGAAATTCGGAAAATTTTTGGATTTTTTCAAAGTTTTTCTAAAAAAATCAATTTTTTGATTTTTTTTTGTCAAAAACCAAAAATTTTGAAAATCCGAGATAGCAGTTTTGTAGCGCCGCTTTTTGTCTACTAGACCATATAAAGAACTTTGAAATTGCTTGATAACTGTAGATTTGGTGAGCGTTTCAAGATTGCATGTTTTTTGCTCATTTTTGCTCGAACATGACCTCAGTTTGACCTCAATAACTCCTGACCTAAGGTGACCTAAGACTTGAAATTTGGTGTGAAGGTGTCAAATTGATGCCCGGGAAGGTACTGAAAATTTGGCGGCGCTGCGCGCCGCCGTTTTCTTGATATTCAGGAAAAACCACAGGGGGGGGGCCAAAATGGCCCCCCCCCCAACGGGGCGAGGGTTAAGAGATCTTCACACTCCAAATTTTGGCCACACCCAAAGTTTGCAAGTACCTACTTGTACCAGTTTCTCCAAAGGCTCTTGGCAATACATTAGCAAGATTTTTAGGATATTTCCTGCTTCCAATGTCTCTAGAAATAAGAAGTAAATTAGAACTTGTTTGGTTCAATGCTGGGAATCTTGGGTTAGACGAACATTCATTTTATGACATTTTCTCGATTCTGTTCCCGGTGAAATATATAATTTTGTATTTTCTCGACGATTTGAAGAGAAAAGAATATGGTAACATAAGTAATAGCATCACTGTAGAAAGGAGCTCTATTCGGCTCTATTCAGTTGCATTGCACTGTTGGTATTATCCTAACTAGTCTCGCGAATTCAAAGAACATCAAAATTGGGCAGTCTGATGCTTCCTAAATCCAAACAATTCCTTTAAGCTGACATGTCGCTGTGTTATGTCCATCCGCTGCATCACGCTGCGATAGTGGTGCTACCAAAGACGTCTGTTAGTTGAATACAGATCTATGCCGGGAGCCGCCGTGTGAGCACGTACTCCGTCGAGCCGCCGAGATTAGAGCATAACAGACACGATCATGGTCTTTTACCAAAAGATGCACGTTAGGACGGGGATGCCCCACAATAGTACCTATAATGACAATAGAAGTAATTAATGTTTTGTGTCGATAAATATTGATGGTGCTCGTATTTGTGTCATTTACAGCTAAGGCAAAGAACAGCAAAGGAACAGCACGGCACAAGCAAGGCTACATTCCTATCAGCTCGGCAACTGGTTTGCCAGCTGTGCCTCAGTCTTCAAATGAGCAAGGTAAATCAACTCAAGCAAGTTTACTCTCAGTTTGCCAATGTTACGCATAGCTCTTTCATGGATAATGGCTTGAGTCGTGGTAGCGCTGTTCCGACTCCGACTCCGGGCTCCTGACCGACTCCGACTCCGGCTCCGACTCAGATTCCGGGTCTGATACCAAACATTGAAAACGACACTTTTTTAACGACAAAGAGTGGCTTCTAGTTATCTACAACTTACATAATAGGGCAAACACAATGGCAATGACTCATGACTTTTATTATTGCATGCCTTCCGGCCTCCGAGTGTCAGCCAGATCACCCATTTGTATGCAGAAGCAGAACCGCTTCGACAGCGTCCTGCTTGAGCCGGTACCGTAGGTCAGTGAGCAGCGGCTCATCGCCGAGAAGAGCCGCTCGACGCGGACCTGGGTCACTGGCAGCGCAGCGAGTGCAAGGCTGCATGGCTATAGAGCCAAGGGGTAGGATCGTATGATGTCCATACATCTTGGCGCTTCAGTCGACCCATGTTCTTGAGATCGTTCACAGCGTCCTGAGGGATCGGCCACATTGACCGTTTGTCCACCTGCCGGCCCTTCTCCAGCCGGTCGAGTTCCTTCTCAAAGAGGTCCTCTGCCCCTTCCTCCTCCGGATCCCAGCTGGAGCTCTGCGTCGACGACAGAGCAAGATCGGACTCTTCGCTTTGGATCCGGTGAATGCGTTCCATCAGCGTGATGAACGCTGCCTCAGTCCGGTTCAGCATACCATACCGTGCGACGACAAAAACTGCAGCCAGAAGCATGTCGCAGTCTAAGAACTTCGCCTTCCGTCGCTGTATGCTGTTATGTTTGCATATGGTCGTTTTTACATTTGCTCAAGGAATTAGAAAGAAGTAAAGGAAAAGAATCGTTTAAATCATTTGATGGCAAAGTTTGCCAGCTTACTCTTACAACTAGCAACTAATTATGCTAGCAACTCTGATTTGCCGTTGGGCTTATCCCCTTTCAATTGTGCATAATATCTCACGACTTGGAGTTGTGTGTATATATACAGGGTGATCGAAAAAAGTGTCACCCCTAATTCAAAAGCCATATAACTCGCGATTGGTTGGTCGTACGACTTTGCGCCAGGCAGCATTAGAAAGAGCATACAATTTCCTTTTGAATGTATGTAAATATGCATGGTTTGTGCCGCAAACGAAGATGTAGCTATTCAAAAAGTATGTTAAGGACGCAATTTGGCGTGTTCAAAAGTTTGGTTGTGCAAATTTGTACTTTCGACAGAGTTTTTGATCTGACAGCTCACGTGACAGCTCACGTGAGTATTTTTCTTAACTGCTCCATGGTTACCGCTGCATAAAATTGATAATCCGGTAGTGCAGGTTGTCGCAATGTTTCGCTAGTTACCGGCGAATTTGTGAAGAATGAGGCCGCATGTTTGCAAGGAAGATCTGATAAGGTCTTCCTTGTCTAAGGTCAGCCGAGAAACGAGTCTAAGGTCAGCTGAGAAACAGTCTGCAGTGAACAACATACACTCCATGTGTAATGTGTGGTGTGTGTCATGTTGAGTTACGATACTCATTGTTCTCGTTCAGCGGTGTCCGATCCCGTTCGGTGAATTTCGTTTCACGTGAAAGCCGCACATTGACTGGTTTTTGAGCCCATGGGGACATGATTTGGAATAGAAAACAATCATGAATACATTCAATTGAAAAGAAATTGTCTGCTCTTTCCGATGCTGCCTGGCGCGAAGTCATCCGACCTACCAGTCGCGAGTTATGTAGATTTTAAGTTAGGGGTGACACTTTTTTTCGATCACCCTGTACTAGTAAAACGCCTTTTGGGCGAAGAACGAGCGAGCGAGTTAGTGAGCCCTGCACGTGCGGAAGGGTTAGAGGGTACTTCCAACGGGCTTGTGCAAAGCACCCTTTTAACCGGTGGCTAGCAGTGTGCCAAATTTGAACGCAATCGGCCCAGCCGTTTCCGAGATCTGGAAACGGCATTCTGCACGTGCGCACGTGCAAACGGGGTCCAAACTGACTTTCGCACGGCACCCTACTAACCGGTCCCCAACCGTGTACCAAATTTGAGCGCAATCGGCCCAGCCGTTCTCGAGATCTGGAAGCGCCCCCTGCACGTGCGCACGTGCAGTAGCACCCCGACCGCAACACATGGGAATGCATTGCCTGGTGGGTGCCTACCTGTATGCCAAGTTTCAGCGAAATCGCCCCAGTAATTACAGAGTTATTGAAATGGGAACAAATTTGGCACGCCTTCTTTTTTTATTTTGCACGTGCAGTGGGGGTCACTCACATAGATCAAGAGTATCGGACCTTTGATAGAAGGGATGAAGCTACCCTACAAAAATTGCCGCAAGACAATCGCCCAAGCGGCTGCTGAAATATGAGCATATCAAAATCACTATTTTTGCAAAACAGCTTTAACACCCTTGGCTTTTCAGGTCACTGAGATGCATCAAAAGCAGTCAATTACGGGGTAGAAGGGATGGGGCTACCCAGCAAAAAAGACCGCACGTCAATCGGTCCAGCGGTTGCTGAGATATAAGCCTCTCAAAAGCGTTACAGGCCGGGCCAGGCCGCTCATACTGAGGTTTTTCCCTTATATTGAAAAGACTTCGCTTCGCTCGCTGCGCTCGCTCGCTCGTAATAATAGTTCGATGATGCCAACTTGTGTGTTTCTGTGTTCCTGATTGCCACATTACCTTCTAGGGTTGGATACTATAGTGGTCAATACCATGGCTACAGACGAGCATGCACTGGGGCAGACATGGAGCCAGAGACAAGAAGCAGAGACTGAAAATTGGGACGGAGCACGTGGACCGCTCTACGACAACGCGTTGTCTGCATTTGCTGTCCCCACTGGCAGTGAGTATGAACTATGAAGCCTTTTATCGCTTACAATAGAATATTTCTATCCAAGGTTTTGCCGCTGTAATGGAACACTCCACTGACTTGAATTTAGTTTGAACAAAATGACCATATGTCATAGGAGAAGCACTTGAGTAACGTTCGTTTTCAACACTAGTTTTTTAAACGTGTTTGACTCCAAGTACGTTTTTCAAATAAGCATGCGATTTAACCAGCGAAACTAGCATAACTGAGCCTAGAAAAATCGAACGTCTCCTAATTTTAACATGTGAGCTCTTCCCTATAGATTCCGTACGTGCGTTTTGGAATTTGACATTAATTAGAACAGTGGTGATGTCATGCTGTGGAACTTGGCTTGCAAAGTGATGTATAACTACTATGGACAGAACCGCTTACTCGATTTGGACCTCGGTAAACATGAAAAACGAAGTTTGCCCAAAAGTCTGTTGACACTTTGTGCCTTCGTACGTACGTATGGGTGCCAGCTGCTACCAGTGATGTCATAAAAGTATGTTCATTTTTAAGACACAATTTCCTGGTATTTATCGAGCACAATTTGAAATCGAATATTTTAATGGTAAGAAATTCTTAGCCAGACGCTGCTAAGAGTTCCCAGCAGCGTCCCCCTGCTAGACGCTGGGGGTACGCTGCCAAAACTCAGAGGAGAGCTTCGGAAATGAACTTGGAGCCAAACACCTTTTGAAAAAAAAAACTAGCAAAAAGTTGAAGGTATACGATCCTGTGAAGTGATCGTAATTGGTAGTTTATCCATGACAATATGAATAAAGCTTTTGCTCATCAATGTGAAATGCGTTTCTTGTCAGTTCCAAGCAGTTTAAAAGGCATGACGTTGGTGCTATAAATTTAAGTGATTACTTAATCGAATTGTGCAGCAGGATCTTAAATGCTATTTTATTGAAAAGCAACAAGGCTGGTCAATAGAATTTCGATAATGAAATTGGAGCCAAACACCTTCTGAAAAAAAAAAACGAACTATAGTTTTGTTAGGACTGAACTTAACTAGCATGACATTTTCAGCCCTGCCGTGCGTCATCTGCGGTGGTGTAGCCACTGTTGTCTGCCGAAATTGTCCTTCGAGCGTTCTCTGCACGAAATGTGACGTGGACCAGCACACTCTTCAGCCATTTCATAAAAGGCGACACTGGACTCGTCAGTTTTGGGAAGTTCTGCCTGCAAGGTCATCTGTTACGCAAGCCGGAGAGTTTGTCCAGTTTGGTAAGTGTATTGGGGGCAGGTGTTGGTTTTCTACAATATCCCACGGAGGCTTGTACATGACGTTTATTAAAGAAATACTGCCGTTACAAACAACAACTTTAAAAGAAGGCTGCCATTTTTTCGTTTATGATTAGGGGGTGCAGGAACGGGGGGCAGTTGGGGCAGCTTGCCCCCTCCCAACTTTAGGGTCGTGGGGGCGACGCCCCCTCGACTTTAGGGGCGTGGAGGCGCTGCCCGCACAGCTTTTCTGTGATATCTTTCCACGATGGTACGCAGTTCAAGGAAAACGCTTGGTGTTTGCTTCATGTTTTCGCATTTCTAAAGCAGCAGGCCTGTTTGCTGTACAGTGCCGTCAATGATCAGGGTGTGACAAATAGTTGCGCGTGAACTGTACGTGCAGCCCCCTAGCATCGCAAAGCGCTTGTCAATGTCTACTGTTGCACTAAGTGTTTTCCTCCCACGATCCAATTTCCCTCGCTCAGAGGATCCCCATAATTAAACATTTAGCCCCCTGGTACGCGCACCTTGTACCGCTCACAGTTCAGCGTTCCAAAGTCTTAATGTTTGTCTGTTTCATTTCAGATCCGGTTTTGCCTTTGCACGAGATCACATCAGCCTGTTGCACATGTACAGGAAAGATGCAAATGGAATCTTCATCATTTTCAACGACGTGCATCACTATGCAAGGTACTTCAAAGAGGCTGGCACACGCTGCTTCTGGGGTCTTCCTAATTCCTATCCTGCTTATTTGTAGTGATGATGAAATAGCCTTTGCTCCTAGGTACTTAATCGAAAAAATGACGAAAAACAAACTATATAAGAGACTGATCGCCCCTGTGGCTTCTTCAGAGCGAAATAAACAATGCTCATCACAGCCATCAATCATATTTACCTTGCTTGTTTCTGATTTTTTCATTTACTGGCTGGGCCATTTCTTCTTCCCCGCGCTAAGACGAAGCTGGCTCAGACTCTTACCCGGACGCGTGGTTCGCAAAGGGACTGTTCGAGGAAAACCCGTTAATGTTCAGAGACTTAGCTCCCGTTGCTCTAACTTTATGTGAAAATGTCATTTATGATTTGGGAGCTGTCAGGAATATTTGGTTAACAGTTGATTCGGCACCTTAGCTTTGGAACGCACATACGACACCAGGTCCCCTAAGTGCACTGGGATTATTGTGCCTTTGGACCCAGATGCCCAGATCTGTCATGCCGAGATCTGTCATGAAAGGGATCACTGAGGCGTTGGTCCCGGCGGTGGGGGTGGGGGAGGGGGTCCATGAGAATGGCGCGTGTGCTTGTGAGCATTTGTCAGTATATGTGTATAATATATGTGTGTGTTCATTAATACACCGGCACACATTTCGTATAACACATACATCAGTTGGTGACATACCAGGGAAATAAGCTAAAATTAGAGTGCTCTATTTATTGCTCCTGCCCCATGTTGAAGAGATACCCCTAAAAACGTGATCTTTTATCGGCCCTTACGCAGCAAGGCAGTAATTCTCAGACCGGTGGATGGTATCAATAGAAAGAGAATGCGTCAAAGATTACAATGAATTAATTAAAATAACATTAAAATGTTGATTAAGCGTGGAAATTAGTCCCAAACATAAGCTAATTATTGCTTCTACCTCGGCGACGGCGCTCCCCGCAGTCAGTGGAGAAGCTAAAATAAAAGCCACCATCCTCCTCCGTAAGTCAATTTTAGAGCGGCCGAGTGGGCCGATGCGGGGCCACCAAACTGAGGTAAGACGTGGCTAGCAATTGCAAACCGCCATAGAAATCAATATCTTAAGACGTACAATATGGGATGATTACTCTGAAGCTGGAGTGAAAGCATGAGTAGATTGCAAGAAACGAAATGCATAGATTGGTTGAATTATGTACAATAGGCACAGCTCAATAGATGAAGCCATTTCTATGATGTTGACATTTGACATAACCCTTCCTCTCCTCACCTATGACCTAAGTGCATTGGCAGTTACCGGCATAGTTTTTGAGCACGAGTTTAATTCGCCATCGGACCGCAATGCATGTTGCTAGGCTGCTGCAATTACAACGAACATACGAATACTGCCTTCATTTGTAGACGTTTGTTTTTTAAGCGGTCTTTGACGTACAAGGGGGCATACCTGTCGACAACTTGAGTTTCTCCGAATTTCAAAAACTCCCAGAATTTCAATTCCTTATGCACTGTTGTAGGTACAGCTACGTTCACAAGTTTTCGTTTCCTCCTGTTCTAAAAAGGATGATATTTGTCGATTTCGTGCGTCGCTGATAAGAGGGTGCGTTTAATAATTAGGCCCAACGCTTTCTGCATCCGCGAGTACCTACCTTCAAAAGGGAACAACAGTTTCCATTTATTACACTATGGGACATGTGACAAAATGACCACTGGAACACGCATGAAACGGAGCTCATATTCCTAAAAATGTCTACAATCACTTCCTTTCCGACACTATTAACAAATACCATCTCAAGTTAGGTGGTTGACAGACAGTCAATGGAGATCTGGGGAGACTGAGTGATGCCAATTCACCACTTAACTGATAATGAGGGCTGAGGGCAGAGAAACAGGCAACATGCACAACTGACAACTTGACAAGTGACAAAACACTACCAATATTGCGCAGTGCACAACATATTACAGCGGCCAGCCCAAAAAATGCTTTTGGTGGCTTATTGCAAAACAAGTCACTAATAAAATATGTCTTAGTTGCAGCTGAACACTGCACAATGATCACACTGTTCACGCTTTGAGTGAGATGCCACAGGTGGTTTGAATCACACTTTGATACAACTGCAAATCTGAAGTGTTATTATGAGATTCATGCCTCCATGATCACAGCACTTTGGTTGAGGTTGGCAAAACACTTGTAGTCTGCAGAGTTCCACATGAACTGCAGACACCTCATCTGGTGGTCTTCATGTTGCTCAACTTCTTCAGGAGGCAAATGTCGACCACCCAGCGGAAGCATGGTCCTGCAGAAAAGAAAGGTAATGCATAAGGTACAAACATTATCTGCTGAAACAGCCCCTTCTGTTGGCTGTTATTAAACTTTTAACATAACATAACAACATGTATTCCATGTATATTACATTTGTTGAAGTAAAATACTGCCGGCTATTTCAATACCAGAAAATGAAATTATATTGTGGCATAATTCACATGCTCAGCTATCAGTATCAAATAATAAAATAATTTAAAATTTGGCATATCCTATAAAACACATTCATAGAATATTCTACTTCACGTCACAAGGACTCACAATCTTTCTGTTGGGTGTTTGATTGACGCATTAGCTAAGTTTGTCTTAGGTCTTATTATTACACAAAAAAATTCATATTGCATTATTGTATCAAAATACTGCCAGCAATAACAAAACAAGAACATGAAATGTCAATGAGCAGGCCGCCTTTCCAAAAATGGGTTACTTTGAAAAGAATTTGTTTCTTTTAAGGAAAAGGAGAAATGATTATCAGGTAATTATCAGAAAACCACTCAACCAGCAAGTGGCTGGGTGGTTTAACAGCAAACATCAAGCCAAACCATATATTTACATTTATCTAACAATTGAGCCATTTGACTACCACAAGGATATGTGAGCAAAATAAGAATCCAATTATCCAATGTTGACTTCCTTGCAAAGTTTATGCCTTATTTTATGAAAACGTGTCACTAGAATATGATACTTATCATCGAATATTATTTAATTTACGATTTATTTCGATCGAAACGCACATGGAGTCACGCGCCATTTTCGTCGACGATTAATATGATCGTGTTTCATGAAGAGATAAGGGGCTTCAATGGTCTTTCAAAGCAATAATTTGATGCAAAAATTGGTAGGAAATAATATAAAGCTGGTTCAAATGGCCATCAACCATTTAAAACACCGAAAATACTCACGACTCCGTCCCGACGACCACGCAGCACCGCGCACGCCACACTACTGGCACAATGCCAAAACTGCTGTCACAGCAGAAATGTTTTTTTTTTCTCGATTGCAATTATGGAATTATTTATTAAACAGAAGACGATCTTTCCGAAAAACCGACTGATTTCATACACAGATGCATGGAAAATAAAAAAATCCCGGGAAATTTATTTGTATTGTTTTGTCGATTTTGACATGCTCCTAGTTTGCAGCCATGTTTCGATATGTTCTACAGGGAGTTCAGAATTATTTCAGGACCAACCTTTTCCTCGTTCATTTTCCCGTCGATCATGAAATTTTTAGAGCGGAACAATTAGTTTCCAGGCGGTCCGAGCGGTTTTCGTGAGAAGGGTGCAAAAATCGGCGTCATTTTTAGAGCCTCGACACCAGCTCAACACAGGACCCTATGGGAGACGGTGAAGTAGCGGGAGCAATAAATAGAGCGCTCTAATTTTAGCTTATTTCCCTGTAGTGTCACCGACTGACATTCAGTTACATCATTCGGTTACAATCATCGGTTCAGTTACATTCAGTTACAATCATCAGACAATCCACACATGTTTCAATGACAGTTTCGCATGCATTCGGCCTACACATAATCAACTAGCACACAAGTCTAAAACCTAAGTGCTATCTGAGCGCCAGGGGTCTTCCATCGTATAAGGACAGAGTACCCGTCATGTTCATTTGCCGGTTGATAGCTGGGTCTCTATCCCTGATGAAGACGGCTTAAAGAATCGCCAGCTTATGTTTTTGGGGACATCTATGAACGTCCAACCCCTTGAGACCCCACTTTTTTTGCGATAATTTTTAGATGCGTTAACTCTCGTTGATGACATTCTGGCAATGTGTGTTTCAGAACCTGCCGAAACTTTTATTACTAATGTATTTTGACGCCAGACGATTATGGAACGTACTTATCATTCACTCGTTATGTTAAAATTCACGAAACGAATCTGCTGTTTGGGTAAAGGCTACGTGCTCATGGGGCGGAGCCACGTAATTACGTCAACGCTATGCTCCGCCCTACCCCTCCGGCGCTCCTTGCCCGGCGACTGGTCACTCGCGTCTCGCGATCCATCCAGGCTTGATGGTGGGCGGTAGCTGGTAGCGGTAGCGGGCGCTGGTAGATGACATTAAGAGCGGTGGCGCTGGTGGCGGGGCTCGAGTATGGCCGAATGCAAGCCTCTGCCCGGGCCTGAATTGACATTACGAGTGAATGAGAAGTACCTTTCATAATCGTCCGGCTTCAAAATACCTTACCTTAGTAGTAAAAGTTTCGGCAGGTTCTGAAACACACATTGCCAGAATATCGTCAACGAGAGTTCGCGCATTTAAAAATTATCGCAAAAAAGTGGGGTCTCAAGGGGTTTGACGTCCATAGTAGGTATGATGCTGGTATTGTTAACCATCATGCTGCGAGTGAGTTTGCTGCCGTGTTCTAATCGGACGTGTTTTTCGGGGCACCATTTTGAAGGTGCATAGAACTCAAAACTAATGTAAAGATGGACAGTGCCTGTTAACGTTTGATATAATTTTATTTCATTTTCAGGTCGGTATAACCTGCTTCTACCGGTCTGGACGTGTGCCTCCTGCAAGTCGGTGATCGAAGTCACCAACTCTGATCTTATGCGGTGTGGCTTCTACAGAGCATCTCCAATCAAGATGTCCACAGTCGTCCATGAAGATGTTTTCGTAACATGGCAATCATTGAAGTACCACTCACCTGGCACGTCGCTGACGGCATTCGTGGCCTCTCTGGAAGAACTTGGGAAGTCATATGGCTCTGTAAGCTCATGCAGCACGCATCATTTTTCTGTTCTTGTAAATTAGCCGTTGCCGCCGCGTCATATATCAGTCATGATATAATCATAAGGTGGTTACTTTTAAAATCATCACACTCCCCATGATGAAATTTAGAAACCCGTTGTGACATTTTATCAGGACATTTCCAGTTGACACTTGTAGCCACAGAACATAGTCTTTCAGGTGTAGATACAGTCTATCTTGAAAGTGCCGTAAGGTGTGGCTATTTGAGACGATGGGCGCTCACTCCTATCCTTCCCTCCCTTCCCCCGTCCTAAGGGTCAGGCAATCCAGTGACCCTCAAACTTGACCACCCTCCGCTGCGCCGCATGTCTAGCGCCACCCTGCCATGCTGCGATACTTTCAAGACAGACTGTAGAATGTACATTTGATATTTACTCATTCAAGGCTTCTCTGACACTTGATACACTGGAATGTCTGCGGACGTTTTTTTTTGGGGGGGGGGGCGTTGATTATCCTATTTGCGTGGGTTGTGTCTATCTGAGTTCAGTGACATGTCTTTCAAATGTCAGCGGCATCTTCATTTTTGCAGCCTGGGCCGGTCGACTTCGAACGCCTGGAAAAGGCATACACAGAGTGGACATGCATGCAGTTCGAACTCCAGAGGCTCGTGTGTTCCGACTTCATGGCCTGTGAGGCCTGCGGAGATGAGCCGAAAATAGTTCATGTGGATGGCAACTTCAAGCTCTACCGTTATCAGTCGTCCGGCAGTGGGGAGATGACATCCGCCTACCATCTAGGCACGCTCATCGAGGACAAGGAAGCGGTGGATAGTCACTTCAACAAAACGAAGATCGTTACGAAGGTGATTATAATGCATGATTGTGCATTAATATATATTAACACATGGTTTCCCGTGTGTAAATGGTTTTAACGCACGACTCGTGCTCCAATCCATCTATGCACGATCATCAACCATTTATGCACGGAAACCATGTGTTAAACTAATTAATGCATGCTTAACGGTGCGAATTTAAATCAAAATTAAACCAAGCCCATGCCACTAAAAGGGCCTTTTATGGGAATTCTAAGAATAAAGTCAATGACCCTTCCGAAAAACTTCAGTCGAGAAAGTCATTGGTGCACGGCTACCTTCGAATTAACGCACGGTTAATCTCCAGTGAACGCACCGTAAAGTATGTATTAATGTATGAACAAGCTGGTACTATTCAATTGTAATTTATAAGTGTTGCATATTAACCCGCGCCCTGTTGGGGTCTGTTTATAACGCGACCTGGTGGGGGGGGGGGGGGCTATTTTTTGCCTCCCCTCGTATCTCCGAAACTACTGGACGGATCCGCAAAATTCAAACGGCGTTCGAAAGGCCTGTCAAATTTGTTGAGGGAAACCAAATTTCATTGACCTCGGGGTCACCGATGACGTCACAGGTCAGGTCAAAGATGAAATGTTTCACCGTTCACGGGTCTGTTAGGGAATGCGCTATAACACCGAGGAAAACGCATTTTGTCGATAATCAGCGATAGGGCGTCAGTTGCCTAGTAGATATGTTGCTATTAGAGGTCACTGACAATACCAGGTCAGGTCACAGGTCAGGTCACCAAGGGTCACAGGTCAGGTCACATGAGCCCAACTTTACTAAGGTTGTGTGATGCATGTTTTATGGCCAATTTTTCATTTCCAACTCAATGGTGTTGGTTATAAGACTATCAGGTACGGCTTAGGTCACTTTCTGGTGAAGTTCAGGTCAAGGTCAGGCCAAATAGGTCAAATTTTAAAGTTGATAGTTTTGCATAAAATGGGTATTGATTCGATGCAGCTCGTCACGGGGAGTCTAATGTTGGTCTTTGTTTTGCGCTACGGGGTCTAGAATTGCTAAAAATTGAGTTTGAAAATTTGACGTCATCAATTTTGAACAGTTTTTCGCTATAACTTCGCCAAAAAAAAAGAGGTATCAATCTCAAATTTGGTATGTGGATGGAAGGCGGTAAGGACTATCACATATATTCCGGTTTTTGCGAAATTCAAAACACTTTTTGGATTTTTCTATTATTATATCCAAAAAAATTATTTTTTGATTTTTGGGGGTCCAAATCCAAAAATTTCAAAAATCCGAAATAGCAGTTTTGTAGCCCTGTTGATTCTACAGCTTTTATGTCTTTATCATTTTTCTGTATTTGCAAAGCTATAGGCCTGGCAGCTCTTCCCGCGAAACCCTTTTTTGGGTCGAAAACGGCAGAACATGACGTCACTCTGACGTCATTTCCGGCCAACCTATCATAGCCTTTGGAAAAATTTTTGGTCACAATGTGTAAAATTGATGTCCGGGAGGGTACTGAAAGTTTGGTGACGATCGGCGCAGCGGTTCTGGAGATATATCGAAAAGTCTGGAGGGGGCAAAAAATAGCCCCCCCCCCCCACCAGGTCGCGGGTTAATGTACCTACCACTTCTTCTACCCGACTTAGCTCAGTAAAAAATGCTTTAAGGGATATGTTCACCTTGAAGACGGATTTCAATGTGCCAAAACACTTTAAAGTAAATGGCTATGTCGTAACCGTATACCATACCCATATCGTAACTACACCTTAAAGGGACCCTCCCACCTTCAAAAAAGTTAATGAATTGGCATGAAAGTGATGTCCCTTGGTTCAGAAAGAGCGAAAACGAATATCTACCAAATTTCACCGAAAAATATTCACTGGTTTTCAAGATATTAGGCTTTTACTTTTGTTTACTTTTTGGGATCTCCCCTGTTACTAGCGACTTAATTTGGAAGCAATAATTTGGCAGCCTTAAAGTGCGGCAGACGTTGCGCGCAAAGCAGCGTATACCACCACGTGTTAACGATGGTTTTAGTCTAAGATTTAAAAATTGTTAGATCTCCGCTGACGTCACAAATTCTAAGGGGGCATTCCAATGCATTAGCCCCCTAGAATCCGAAAACTGCAAGTTTGAAATGCCATATCTTCGAATTAAAGCATTTTTCGATGTTGTGAGTGCCCAAACCGGTATTTGCAGGCCATGGCCACCAATTTGGCTATCTTAACTCAAAACTAATGTTAAGGTGGGAGTGTCCCTTTAAGGGCGGCCGGTCGTCGGCCAGCGGACCGCGAAATTACCTGACCTAAGGTCACCGACATCGAAATTCCGAGATAGTGCTACATTTTGTGTATGGGTAAGCTTAGATAGCCTTGAAAGTTTCATACTGAACACTCAACTGTAGCCATGACGCGACTGTTAACATTATTAGAGGTCATGTCACTTCACCTGACCTGAGGTGAAGTGGGACTCTAAATTTTCTGGGAATGTGCGAAATAGATGTGGTGAGATAATGTATGTCTTAATTGCCACAGTACTTTGCGCTATTCGTGAAAAGCCGTAGAGAGTAGTCAAGATGCCTCCCCACCCCACCCCCCACCCCTAATCGGGTGAAGGTTCCTTATTAAAGAATTATGGTGGACCGCTTAAATTATTTGACTGTCTATTGCGAACTCAAGGTAAATTCTTGTGAATTTTCAATCTGCCGTGTGTTGAAAACATGACTTTTCGTTGTCTCATTTTCCTGGAAAAACGAGCATGCACCTTTAATTAATACTGTACATTTAATTGTCAGACAAACAACCGATGCGGTATCTCGTCCTGGGCTGCTGGTCGGAACGCTCCGGGACGTGTTCCATCCAAGAAGACGCAGGACGAGACGGGACTGATCGTGGCAACGTGTCGCCACAGCGTCATCCTCGGTGGTGTCAATATGTATCGCGGGGAACTCTTCGCATACAGTCACTACCTACAGCAGAAGAGGTTCCCCAACGGCCTGCAATACTTTGCTAGTGACATAGTATGCAAGTATTGGCCCTGGACGCAGCGCGTGGGACAACTCTTTCCTGAACATGCCACGCACGACACGAAGCCGTTCTTGAGCGTGATGCACGCTATGAGTCACGCCTACTACTGCCAGGTATGGAAGCTGTACAGTATCATTAATCCCCACTCTGTGTTGTCTGATCCAACTTCGCCATTCTGGGGGGGGGGGAGGCAAATGACCATAAACCACCCCATATATATATATATATATATATATATATATATATATATATATATATATATATATATATATATATATATATATATATATATATATATATATATATATATAATGTGTGTTAACAGTGAAATCCGCTTAATAAATCCAGCCGCTTATTGTGGCCGCTTGAGCTATTCACGGATTTTCTCCATAAATACCCATAATTATAAAGAAATCCGCGTAAGTCCACCAACTCCGCTTAATAAAGCCACTTGGGAGTTTCGAAGCCCGCAGTTACTTCTCCCCACTCGAAACGTGGCATCCAAACCGCTCCCGAAGAACCGCTCTGGAGCAGCGGTCTGCAGCAGTTGGAGTTCTAAAAACAGAAGGAGTTAAGGCTTTCAAGAGCGCAATCACCATGCACCTCAAAGAAATGTTCCCGGCAAAGCAGGCACGCTCGTCTATTCCGTTGGCATGGCTGGCATGACGGGAGTGATCGCGGATAGATATGTTGAATTAATTGGTGTGACAGCGGTGCAGTGTGCGCTGGTCACTTTAACCTTCCAGGCGGTGGGGGGGGGGCATTTTTTGCCCCCCCCCCTTTAGTTTTTTTCGATATATCTCGAGAACCGCTGCGCCGATCGTCACCAAACTTTTGGTACCCTCCCGGGAGCAGCTAGCGCACATGGTGACCAAAAATTTTTCCAAAGGCTATGATAGGTTGGCCGCTAATGACGTCAGAGTGACGTCATTTTTGCCATTTTCGACCCAAAAAAGGTTTCGCGGGAAGAGCTGTCAGGCCTACAGCTTTAGAGATAGAAAAATATTTCAGACATAAAAGATGTAGAATTGGAAGGGCTACAAAACTGCTATTTCGGTTTTTCAATTTTTTTTGGATTTTGACCCCCAAAAATCAAAAAATAGATTTTTTGAATATAATTGCCAAAAAATCCAAAAAGTTTTTTGAATTTCGAAAAAAAACCGGAATATATGTGATAGCCCCTACCGCCTTCTACCTACATACCAAATTTGAGATCGATACCTCTTTTTTGGCCAAGTTATAGCGAAAAAACTGTTCAAAATTGATGACGTCAAATTTTCAAACTCAATTTTTAGCAATTTTAGACCTCGTAGCGCAAAACAAAGACCACCATTAGACTCCCCGTGACGAGCTGCATCGAATCGATACCCATTTTATGCAAAAATATCAACTTTGAACTTTGACCTTTTTTGACCTGACCTTGACCTGACCTCCACCAGAAAGTGACCTAAACCGTACCTGATGGTCTTATAACCAACACCATTGAGTTGGAAATGAAAAACTGGCCATAAAACATGCATCGCATAACCTTAGTAAAGTTGGGCTCATGTGGTGACCCTTGGTGACCTTTGGTGACCTGACCTGTGACCTGACCTGGTATGACCAGTGACCTCTAATAGCAACATATGTACTAGACAACTGACGCCTTATCGCTGATTTTCGACAAAATGTGTTTTACTCGGTGTTATAGCGCTTTCCCTAGAAGCCCCGTGAACGGTGAAACATTTTATCTTTGACCTGACCTGTGACGTCATCGGTGACCCCGAGGTCAATGAAATTTGGTTTCTCTCGACAAATTTGACAGGGCTATCGACCGCCGTTTGAATTTTCCGGATCCGTCCAGTAGTTTCGGAGATACGGGGGGGGGGGGGGCAAAAAAGTGCCCCACCCCCCACCGCGCGGAAGGTGGCTGGTAGGCCCACCGCCTGCCGGGTTAACCCGGCACCGCCTGGGCTATTTCCGTACCCACGACAGCCTGGGGGGGGGGGGGTATTCCCCCTGTTATCTCGAGAACCAATGGTCGCATCGAGCCCCGCGAGGCGGCGTTCGAATGGTCTCTACGAGACCTTCCCAAAGCACTCTTAAGATTTTAAGATTGAGGTCAACTTTCGGGTCAAGGTCAGGTCAAAGGTCAAATTCTGGGGTTTTGCATGATTAGGCTTACGGACAGCGGAATCGACAGCTGCTGCTCGAAACTCACCAAAAATGACCTCAAAGACCTAGTGAAGGTACCATGTGCGTATAGGGGTCATACTAAGTACGGGTCAAGGTCAGGTCAGGTCACGAAAGGTCACGGTTTTCGCTTTCTGCTACATGGGCATGCGACACATGATTTATGACTTATTTTTTACGCCGAATCCGATGGTAATGGTAATATGTGACCCCAAGTCACTGTGCTGGTGATAAGTGTGCATTGAAAGCATAAAAAAAATCGTTTATACCATGCATAACTAAACGAGGGCTAAGAAAAAGGTCAATTTTTCAACAATGTTCTAATAGAGCTCTATGACATATATTCCGGTTTTTTGGAAATTATCAAAATTTTGGATTTTATTAGCTGTTTTACAAAAAAATGTAGTTTTTTGAATTTTTAGGGGTGAAAAACGCATTTTATGGAAAATCCGAGATAGCCATTTTAAAGAACTCGTTGAGCTGCGTCTATTCATGTCCTTAATTTGCAATTTGCTTAAAACCCTGATTTTTGGCAATTTTTTAAACATTTACCACTTATTGACTGAAAACGCCATGTAGTTACGTCACTAAAATCGATACATCTAAAAAAAATTGGAAATTTTTCTTAAAAATTGCACAGGAGACGTCAAATTGATGGGGGAGAAGGTATGCCAAGTTTCAAGTCGATAGCATAAGTGGTTCATAAGTTATTCAAGAAAAACGGAGGGGGGGGGTCGGATCCGACCCCGCCCCCAGGCGGTTGCGGGTTAAGGGGCATTTCTACGGTCGCAGGTTTGGGGATGTCCAACCTTAAAAGCATGCCTTTATAAATTAGGCTGCATTACGAAAGTCAAGTTATTTGGGGTCCGGACCCCTGCGACCCCATCGGTGGCGGAGACCCTGGTCACTTTCTGTTCCTGGGTAGGTCAAACAGCTTTCGTCACCCATTACCATCTTCACGTTCTGACCGTCTGATAGCGTGCCCCAAACAGCCGACGCAAACGCTGTTATTCTCTGCGTTTCTGCGCTTTGGTGTCATCTGCAGGTGCCTGTGTGCACCTCCGTTTCTCAATAACACATTTTCTCAAGCAAAAACTACAACATAATAGTATCCAAATATTAAAGCGACACGCCAGCAGGCACATCGACAACTTTTTCCAGCCTACTGGACGTTTCCTCTTGTCTCAAATATAATAAATATGCGATTGGCACTTGGCTGAAAACCTGTTACTTGCACTAAGAGAGCCATAGGTGTCCTCTACGGTATAGATGGGTAATTTTTCTTCGGATTGGCGAAGATTTCTCGGGACCGTTTGCTTACTGTCCCAATGGCGACTGACCGTGGGATGTAAACTTTTCATTTTGCGTGTTTAACTTTCACAACAGATAGGTCTTTGGTCGTGTAAAATATGGATATTGTGTATTACCCCATTAACGGTGCGTATCAATTGCTTGAAAACTTGCTCACTATTTAGTAGACACCCGTTACGTTTCTCTCTCTCTCTCTCTCTCTCTCTCTCTCTCTCTCTCTCTCTCTCTCTCTCTCTCTCTCTCTCTCTCTCTCTCTCTCTCTCTCTCTCTCTCTCTCTCTCTCTCTCTCTCTCTCTCTCTCTCTCTCTCTAGCTCTCTCTCTCTCTCTCTCTCTCTCTCTCTCTCTCTCTCTCTCTCTCTCTCTCTCTCTCTCTCTCTCTCTCTCTAGCTCTCTCTCTCTGTCCCCTTTCTCTTTCTCTCCTGTTAAATGACGAGGCCTGATTTCTTTTAACCCTTTCGTTTTTACAGATAGCCTATGGGGGCTTTTGGCAAGAAGGGTCGGGATGGTCGGTGATGGAAACAACTGAGATGGCGAACGCCTTCCTGAGTCGTGCCTCCAACACCACCAAGTACATGACCTCTGCCCAGCGCGTGGACTCTCTCACCGACCTGGTACTGTGCTACAATCGCAGTAAGCATCTGCGCATGCCAGAGCTCCTGGTAAAGAGGAAAGAAGACGCTAAGAAAAGGCTCCCGAGCCTTGAAAAGAAGCTAGCGTCTCTCCTGCAGGAGCATGGTGTAGACGCCAGTCAGATAGATGTGCTTGTGGAACAGCTGCATCTGTTAGCCACTTCCCTCTCGATGCGCGACAGGCGTGCTAGCGGTACCGACCTAGAGAACGCCATCGAGATGACGAGTGACAGCTGGCGAGTGCGACGTTCGGCTGTGACGAACGTGGCTACGTCGTCAAAGGCGCGTATCGCAGCACGGAGGAGGATGCAACAAGACCACATCAAGCTGAAGACACTGCTTGCTAAATACGCGCGTGAAGCTGGAGTCACTGTGGCGGTAGAAGATGCCCAGGAAGGGTGCTTCCCATGGCATACCCACTCAACGGAGGGTAGTTCCGTCTCCCTGTCCGCCAAACGTGTGATTTGCGACACAGTCATGCGCATCCGTCGGACACGGGAAGAAGTGCTGATCGTGGATGGCGAGATGGAGCGCCTTCTATCTGCCTCTTCTGGTGCCATTCATATGCTGAAATACCCGCTTGCTGTAAGTTTTTGGACCTGTCACTTTTTCCAAATGGAAGTTTAGTTGCGTGGCATTACGTACAATTACAATATTCGGTTATATTTTTATACGGAATGTTTTCCGATGCCATGTTTACGACAAATGTAATATGTTTAGTAAACAAAAGCAAAAGATTGTTGAAAACCAATCATCACCGACATGAAGCCTGAGGTTGATATACATCAACGCAGCATTCACTTGTTTTTTTTTCAGATGATAGAAGAGCAGCTGAGCCGCCCAGATCATGAGCGCGAGTCAGTCTTGGAGCCTTCATCAAGGACGGACCGGTATTCCATCCGGCAGCAGTCGACCTCCGTTCTGCGTGGCCTTAGAAGTCTCATCCTCGAGGCACTCAGCTACCGACAAGAGTACCTGAACTTTGCACGCTCCCGCTTCCAGCAAAATGTTGCACGTAAGCTGGTTAACTTTCTCTTTTGTGACTAATTTAAACTACTAGCAAGACCGTTTGCCACATGCTCAGAAATACAGCTAAATATTATCTCAACAGTTAATGCCAACGGAGTAGGTTATGTACTAAATACCGGCAGAACTAAACTGTGCGGTGCACAGTGATGCAAATGGGGTTCACGAGTGGCCATAGATACCAAAAAGTCAGGTTTACCAAACCGAGTAAATCGCGGTATGGCCAAACAAAGACATGTTTGGGGAATCTGAAAGCACACAGCTTTCATGTTTTTGTTAAAACCGACCTCGTGTATAATTGTCAGAAGTCGTGACATTTTCTATGTCGTGAAATGCCTGTCAGGTACTTGCAAATTCAAACGCCGCTAGCGTGCGTTCATTTCATGCAAACTGCAAAAAAGTGTACATGGCAATGATCCCTAAGGCCTTCTGCTTCTAATGCCGGGTCACAAAAAGCCGTATCTCTTTGTTTTGGCGGTTATCTAACCATCGGTCATCATGCTGCAATCGTAGTTTTTTACTTAAAATTATTTGCTTTCGTTTCACCTACAGCAGTTTACACAGTGTGTGCCCGTTAGTCCCCTATGCCTTAGCCATCCCCAATCATTTCTGAGTCACACCGTGAAAGAATTAAAGGCGCTAGCACAGGGCAGACCGGCGCTATTGAAGTTTTTGTCCGGCACGGTCAGGTGTCGCGGTGGGCGGCGGGTGGGCGAATTGCTTTAACCGAGGATTTGCAATTTCGACAGACGTTTGACTTTGACCTGCTACAAGTAGGTCAAATATTGACCTTAAGTCAAAAGTAATATGCTCACTCGCGAGATCTTGTCAAGAGCAATCCGTTGGTTTTTGTCGCGAGGCGCTAGGACGCTTCGTTTAGGAACAGCAGAGGTATGCACCGACGAACCTTCGCTGTGGCCGCCCGCCCGCGCCGCGGCACCCGACCGCAACGGACGAAAACTTAACCCTATTCCGGGCGGGGGGGCCTTTAAGGCCCCGCGCCAGAATAGCAGTTTTCATTTTTCCCCATTGACTTATAATGGTGAGGTTACGAAAATGACCTGACCTCATATGACCTTTAGGAAAAGTTCGAAATATAGAAGTTGTGAGACTCCTAATGGATACTAGATCCTGCAAGTTTCATTTCTCTGTGAAAGCTTCTCTGGCAGTGAGGGCGTTGCGAAGTTGCGACATCTGAAGACCGTGCAGAGGTTCACTTATGACGTCATAGGTCAGTGACCTAACCTGACCCGAAAATGCGGTTGGTGTCAAAAGATCCGGCTTGAATCAAAGGTCAGGTGTGCAAGTTTCAGCTCTCTATCGCCAGCGTGTTCGGAACTATCACGAAACAAGACCCTATGGGGGGGGCGGCACCCGCTCCCCCCCCCCTCGGCTGGCGAGGGTTAATTCTTCACAGTGCGGCTCAGAAATGATTAGGGAATGCTATGGTATGGTGGACTAACGGGCACACACTGTGTAAACCGCTGTAGGTGAAACGAAAGCAAATATTTTTTTAGTAAAAACTGCGATTGCAACATGATGACAAATCGTTAGATCAACGCCAAACCAAAAGAGATCCGGCTTTTGGTGACCCGGCATTAGAAGCAGCAGGCTTTGGGGATCATTGCCATGCATAACTTTTGCCATTGGTATGAAATGAACGCACGCTAACGGCGTTTGAACTTGCGAGTATCTGACAGTCATTTTACGACATAGAAAACGTCACGACTTCTGACAATCATACATGAGACCGGTTTTGACAAAAACATGATTTTTTTTTTTGAGACACCCCAAACATTTTGCCTGACTGGCCATATTACGATTTATTCGATTATTAGGGGAACTTGAAAATTGGGCCTTTTCGGTATTTATGGCCACTCGTGAACCCCATTTGCATCACTGTGCGGTGGGGGGGGGGGGGGGGGCGGTAGCAGTGTGGAGCGATACCGAGCACGGATGTCGATAAATATTAATGACAGTAATCGGAGACTGTTAAGATTAAAAAGCAGGTCTCATTTTTATTTTCTAGAATCCGTTGAACCGTTAGATTCTGTAAATAACGAGAAACATTCGTCTCTTCCTTTTCAGAAGCAACTAGCCATCAGTGACCTTCCTGTGAGTCACGCGGGCGGCAGTACTGCAGCAGCAGCAGTACGGCAGCAACAGTCACAACAACAGCGAGGGCGTCATCACCAGTACCACTGCTGCAGCACCAGCCGCATGGGCGTCGTGTGGCCTTCGGTGCAATCAGATTATTCAGCATTTCTTCTCCTACCCTGTATTATGTGCTTCATGCTGTTCGATATAAATTTCTTCATTGTTGCCTTGATCTTTACACACTGTTTGGGACCGTCTTGAGCGCCAGGGGGAAAACGGTAATCAGGGACGGATAGGATTAAACCGCCGTAAAGCCAATAGACTGCTAAGTGAGTCGGATAAAATCAAATAGAAAAAAACCGTCAGACACCTCCATAAAACACGGAGGCTTTTCGATGGCGACTAGCTCTGAGGAAAACACCGAGGCGCTGGGTGGAAGGGAAAACAAGGGAAAACCAGCGGGTGTCCCGACCAGCGTCAAAAGAGCAACCCACTCCCTCGGATGTTTTTGAGCCGTCTGTATAGACCGAAATAAAACCATCATACGAGGCTATATGCTCCAGGCTCTGGTTTGTGCTTTATAGGGCAGTAGGCTATCATTTTTTACTTCAGAAAGCGAGAGGTCCACCTGCGGTGGGGCGTTTCTCCAGGGTGGAGAAGGCGTTCCCCAGATAACGCAGAACGCCGCGCCAGGCTATATTCGATGTAGAGAATAAACCTCTTACGCGTGCTCCGAATGAATGACTCGTCCCATTACCAGGGCCTAGTTTAACAGGGTTTAACAGGGCCAGGGCCTTTAGTTGCGGTTAACTCAATTTTGGGTAAAATACCCCACTGCGTAACTACAAAAATACTCCCCAAAATTGAGTTTACCCCACTTGTGAGATTGAACCAAGTTCCTAATCTCACCAAGTTAATTACCTAAACTCAATTTTTGGGTAGTATTTTTGTAGTTACGTAGTGGGGTAGTTTCGTATTTTACCCCAACTTAAGTTTACCGCACTTGGTGAAACTGGGCCCGGATGAGGCAAGGCGACGCGAAAAGACGTACGGGTACGTCGGGTGCGTCGGGAATTGACGTACCTACTATGAACGTCAAACCCCTTGAGACCCCACTTTTTTGCGATAATTTTTAAATGCGTCAACTTTCGTTGACAATATTCTGGCAATGTATGTTTCAGAACCTGCCGAAACTTTTATTACTAAGGTATTTTGACGCCAAACGATTATGGAAGGTACTTCTCATTCACTCGTAATGCTAAGGTCAATTCAGGCCCGGGCAGAGGCTTGCGCTCGGCCACACTCGAGCCCCGCCACCAGCGCCATCTGCTCTAAATGCCATCTACCAGCGCCCGCTACCGCTACCAGCTACCACCCACCATCAAGCCTGAATGGAGCGAGAGACGCGAGTGACCGGTCGCCGGGCAAGGAGCGCCGGAGGGGTAGGGCGGAGCTTAGCGCTGACGTCATTGCGTGGCTCCGCCCCATGAGCGCGCAGCCTCTACCCAAACAGCAGATTCGTTCCGTGAAATTTAACATTACGAGTGAATGAGAAGTACCTTTCATAATCGTTTGGCGTCAAAATACCTTAGTAATAAAAGTTTCGGCAGGTTCTAAAACACACATTGCCAGAATATTGTCAACGAGAGTTGACGCATTTAAAAATTATCGCAAAAAAGTGGGGTCTCAAGGGGTTTGACGTCCATAGTAGTTTAAGAGCACAGCGCATCCCCAGCGTCTGACGGCGGAGAGAAAAGGGCGGCTCGTGCGCCTCGGCAAGAATGCTGCTCCTGGGCGAGGTGCGGAATGCTCCGGTGGCTATTCGGAGTGCTGCATGATGGACTGTATCCTGGGCCTTCTTGCAGGGTTCACTCGCTGAATCATACTCAAAAGAAGTGTAATCCCTAGCTTCGATCATATAAATTTGTGAATTACTTGTCACGACGTCGCAAGCAGCCGAGACTGAGGCGAACGTCACTACTACTGATAAAGTCATAAATCGCAAAAACGAAAAAAATATGCAGGAATGTGCCTTTAGGCAGTGCGTGCACGAACCTGCCCCACAACGTTATTTGTAATATAATTCAAAATTTCTTATTGAAAAAATGAGTTTTTCAACAAACAAGTTTGCAGCAGTTCCGTGAATAAAGTGAGCTTCTTCGGACCCAATCTTGAAAAGTTAAACCACATTTCCGAGTCAGGATCACGAAAATAGATGATTATGATAAGAGAAAAGTTTGGAAAGCCCACGAATATGACAAATTTGCGTTTTTATCAAGCATGACAGCAGGTACAGTGTTGTCTTCTACAGTGAACGAAGGGCGGCAATGATAGACATATTTTCATAATTTACCTTTAGCTCGTGCAGTCACTCGTGTTCCCATAAACTGCTGAAAACGAATTTGCCCCACTCTCCCCTACCTCACAATTATCTCGTCGACGGCTAGCTTGAACTGAAAAATACGAAACTGCTGGAAGGACTTGATGATATCCAGAAGCGGACGCACCTTGAAGCCACGGACTTTTATCTCTTGAACGCCAACGCCGATGAAACGCCGATGAACGCCTGCAGCTCATGGTCGGACAGAGAGAACAGCCTGGTCGTTTTTTTTCTACATCTCTCGCATACCGAATGGTTTCCAGCTGGATGGGATGCAACACTTCAGGTGTGAAAATTTTCTCAAAAATCTCCACAGCCGTACTCCCACTCAGCTCGCTGGCGATCTTCTCCCGAGCTTCCTCCGGTCCGTTAGAAGGCGCCTGCCAGTCACTGTATTCCGGTTGTTGTTTACGCCAGGTGGGAGCGCCTTGATCCGTGCGTCGTTGTTTCTTCGGCGGAGGCGTGTCGTCTTCAGTTGGCGGTGTCTGGAAATTAACTTCCACCTCGCCAGGCACGTCTGCCACCTCGGCGACACCGGTGCATTCGTCATTGCCCTCATCCTCGTCACTGTCGTCCGGCGGAATGCTCACCACATCGAGATCACCAGTATAACGCCTTTTGGGGCGACTAACGGAGCGAGCGAGAGGGTGGGCCTTGCACGTGCGAAATTTCGAGGGGGCACCTCCAACTGACTTGTGCACGGCACCCTACTAACCGGTCTCTAGTGATGTGCCAAATTTGAGCACAATCGGCCCAGCCGTTCTCGTGATCTGGAAGCGGCACCCTGCACGTGCGCACGTGCAAAATGGGTCCCAACTGACTTGTGCACGGCACCCTACTAACTGCTTCCTAACCGTGTACCGAATTTGAGCGCAATCGGTCGAGCCGTTCTCGAGATCTGGAAACGACCTATGCACGTGCGCACGTGCAGCAGCACCCCATTTCTGGCACATGGATATGCAGTGCCTAGTGGGTGCCTACCTACATGCCAACTTTCAGCGCAATTGGCCAAGTAGTTACCGAGATATTGCAACAATTACAAAACTGACACCTCTTCGTTTTGCACGTGGCACGTGCATAAGGGGTCACCCACTTGTATCGGAAATAGTCCAATACTTGGTAGAAGGAATGAAGCTACCCTACAAAAATTACCGCATGTAAATCGGTCAAGTGGTTGCTGAGATATAAGCCTCGCAAAAGCGTCCGCACGGCCGGCCGGCCGGCCGCTCATACTCAGAAATTTCCGTTAATCTAAGGAAAGACTTCGCTCGCTTCGCTCGCTCCGTAATCATCGACAGAATCGAGATCGTTCATCAATCATCACCATATGTAGGTAGGTATCTACGGATTCCTGTAGTCAAATACCGCTCCCGCGGCATTGTGATTGTTTCGGTTCCACAGATGGAAGACTACAATCTCAAATATGACAGAATCGCATTACATATGTGCCCTATCGCGACAAACTGACCGCAGTGGCGGCGGAAGGTATTCTAGGATAGGGGTGCAAACGATATTGAAGCGCCCCTTCCCGCTGGGCGCCCCTTACCATGCCGATGGCCGTCCCTGCACTGGAAAATCAGTTTCACCCCTATACAGGCGCCCATAGAAGTTTGCAGAGTGCTATTCCTGGTCATAATCATCTCCCCAGTAAAAAAAAAACGCAAAATACGCCCTAGCACTAGGGGTGTAACCGCCCATACGGACAGTGCAATTTTACAGGCCCCAATCTCGGACCTCCCTTAACATTCATATGTTGTAAACGGCAAACCACCCCCGATAAATGTTACACAAACTAATTTCCTCTCGCATATCGGCCATCAGGCGCCCCTTTTTGTCGCATGGAGCCTGCAACGCTATAAGCCCTCATATGTTCGTGTTGGCGTTCGGAGGCTATCGCCTTCAAAGACGTCTCCATAAATGTTTCTTTTTCGTCCCACACACAGGCGTCCCTCTTTCGCATGCAGGCGCCCCTCTTCCGCATGGCGCGCTTCTCGAGTAGCTGCGCCCTCCTAGCCTTTATCGCCTGGCAAGATTATATTCGACAGGGTCGGCAGCATCTGCCTTTGTTTCAGATAAGGATGCCCTCCACTCTTCAGCATATCAAAAGATACTTTTCCCACGTCATTGCCACCCTCTTCGTGTCACAAGTGCCTTTATCAGTTGCGGTGTCGCCTCGCACTGCTCAGCTTTATGGCTGCCGCACCTCTTAACTTCCTGCCTCCTCTACAGATTTTCGAGGCGCCCCTTTCCAATTTCCATAGCTTTAGGGTGCAGCTGCCCCCCTTGCCCCCCTGCTTCCGCCGCCACTGACTGACCGGCGTACCCTCCCCTGTCATTAGCCGCCGCTATCCGGGAATCCCCGCGCCCGCCACCAGCTGTGCGCGGGCCTGACCACCGGTGAGTCCAAATTGGTCGCTCAAAATTTCGCGTTCGCCACGCACCGCCGGGGCGTAGTGAGCCTGTTATCGTCAACGGATTTACAAAAGTGGACCTTGCTCTGTATAATATAAGCTTGTTGTCTCATTACTTAGAACAATGACCGAAATGCAGCCGTTGCACTGCATTCGTGTCGTAATATCGAGAAATCGCTAACTTTAGGACCCCACCAAATAAAGTTCTAGGGATTGTGGTCCTCAGTTCCCAGATAACCATCTTCAGATAACTTTCCTCATCAATCACCAGGGATTGACAGACCCCTCCGACGAAACCAGACAACCGTGACACCTTTCAAAGACACCGTCCATTTTTGATCCGCCGAGCGCTTAAAGGGAGTAATTGGTCGGTAGGTAAAGGGTAAAGGTTCACTTTCCTTAAATTAGTTTTTAAATAGATTTAGTATTTTTATGCTCAAAATGATCAGAAAATAAAATATGAATAAATCTTTTTATAAAAAAATTATTTTCTGTGTTTTAATATACATAGGAACAACTGTTCTATATAACATGATGTTTGTCGCGTAAGCTTATCACGCGTTGACCAAGCATATTGCGTAGTTCAACGCTACGCAAGCTGCATTGGCTGTACCTACCTAAGCAGCATGCTTTGCTTTCCTCAGCAAGGCACGGATTCTTTTATGTATGTACCTACAACTTACAAGACACTTTACGGAACGAGAAATGGAATATCTTTGTTTAGGGTCTAAAGAGCCTAACCCAACAAAACAAACAAGCGGCGGGGGACATTCTCTCTTATTCTCGCAGCTCGCTCTACCGTCGGACACTCATTCTCATTCTCTTGGTAGCGGTCAATCTCAATTTGTAGTGTGACAGTGATGAAGGGAGAGGCGCGCAGGGAAGCTGTGGTGTCGCAGAGTGAACGGTGTGGTGTCGCAACGCCTGATGAGGGGTGGCGGCACCGATCGCAGTGGCGGCGTCAGGGCGGCCGGGCAGGTGATTTAAGATGTTCCGTCTTCCCGACCGCCACGCTGCTGGCGGTGTCCCTGCGCCGTGCGCTTTGGCGGGACGGTCCTGTGCTGCCGCCACTCCTCCCCTGCGGCTTGTTTGCGCGGCCGCTGGTACCGCGGCCGCATTCCGCGTCCAGCCACTAGTAGCGCGGTGGGTAGGCGCAGTGGCGGATCCAGGGGGGGGCAAAATGGGCATTTGCCCCCCCAAACGGCATGATTTTAACATAACGCCTATGGACGATGCATGGAAAGAATCGATAAATTTTTATGGTTTGCCCCCCCCCCCCCCCAAACCTCTGAGCTGGATCCGCCTCTGGGTAGGCGGGCGGAAGGGACGGCGGCCGTCGCCCCACTAGCGGCGACGGTAACGGTCCTTTGACCTGCATCCGCCATCCGCAGGGCTGCGGCCCGTCGTTGGTCGGCTCCGTTCTGTTGGGGCGAGTCTGGTCGGTCCGGAGACGTCGAATCCAGAATCTCACACAAGCTGCGTCTGCGTGCGGTCGGCTCGACGGTTCCGTAGAGTCGGACCGGCGATTCCGGGAAGTCGGATCGGGGGCTTCCGAGACTCGGTTCGGTGGCTTACCGGACTTGGATCCGAGAAAAAGAGGGCACGATGTGTGAGTATCAACTTAGATCGGGAGCGGGGGTGAAGCAGGACCATGGGTTACGCCACCGGGGGGGGGGGGGGGACGGGGGGACTTGTCCCCCAATATTTTACATTTTTACCACTATGCCTATGGATGCTGCATGGAAAGAATCGACTTCAAACGGCCTTCGTCCCCCAACCATCGGGTCGTGACGGAGCCCTTGACCAGGACGCCGGTATGTGTGACGCGTGGGTGAGAGGCGAGCCATCGGGGCCGCAGGAGGTGCGGTGATGTGTGGGTGTTTGTTGGTTGGAGGGATGGGTTACGCGATGCGTGATGTGAGGGCAGATTGGGCAGACGGATGGGTCCGACAAGATTGTAAGCGGCATGATGTGCGAGAGTTGAGCCGGCCATTATGTAAAAGTTTGTGTGAGAACGTGTCAGTCTGTGTGTGTGTAGATTAGAAGTATAGTTTCGAATAAATGCGTTCGATTGAGTGGCAGTCTTTTAATGGGACACCCGTCGGGAGGACCGAGCTCGGGGGCAACGGAAGAGACCAACGGCGGTCGGCGACACAGATCAACAGGGGCGGATAATTGCCATAATCCCAGGGGATGCTTTTCTAGCTCCTGGCGAATGGAATTTTTGCGTAGAAAAGCACGTATAGGTACGTTTTCCTGCAGCATCACTCTCCCCGAGTTGACGGAGACGGAGTCGATTTTTGGAAGCCGGAGTCGCAGTCATTGACAATTCATTGACTCCGCAGCCGTTTCACTAAAGCGTTTTTCACTCGGCGCTCTTCTGGGAGAATAGCGCCCTTTTGACAGCACTGCGCCATTCTCATGGTCTAACGGCGCCCTCCTGACCGTCTCGCGCCCTTAGGTCTCTGTCTACCGTGCATCCCTCGACTGTTCGGCGCCCTTCCGGCCTCTCAGCGCCCCTGGACCACATAGCGTTTTCAATCACGACACTCGGCGCCCTTCTAGGAGAATGGCGCCCCTTTTCTTGGTCTCACGGCGCCCTCGTAACCGTCTGGCGCCCCTATGTCCCCACCAACTTATTACTTAGCACTACTGACTGTTCGGCGCCCTTGTGGCCTCTCAGCGCCCCTGGTCCACGTAACGTTTTCAATCACTCGGCGCCCTCGTAACCGTCTGGCGCCCTTTCGTCCCCACCAACTTAGCATACTGACTGTGTGGCGCCCTTCTGACCTCTGCGCCCGTGGACATACATATAGCGTTTTTAATCACCTGTCGCCCTCCTGCAGGAGAATGGCTTAAAACGTGTGGTCTGACCAGAATAGGGAAAATGAGAAGGGCTACGGGTCTCAGAAAAGGGTCGGTGTTCTCACTTTTTTCTCAGTGTGGTTTCCAGCAATGAGAACGGAATTCCATCTCATACGCGTCCGTGCACGGGTTTCGCTTGAGGATGGTGATGCCGTTCTGATCCGTGTTGAACCTTCATTTCCCAAATCTGGCCCGCCCAGATCCGTTCTATTTTTCCAAATTTGGGACCCAATTCTATCCGGATTCCGGTCGATCGATCCATGGATAACGGATTTATCCGGCCCATCAAGTGCTCTAATTTATGGATAATTTCCATGCCAGCTCAACAACTGGTGTACACGGCACCCCTCAATTATTTACTATATTCTATATAAAATAACTGATTAGGGGTTCTTCTTGGCCCTGATTTCGAATTAAAATGGCCTGAAGTCAGCAATGTATAGCTGTTAGTGACGTCAACTTATGACGTCATACGGTGTTCGACAATATTCGAAGCGACTTTTTCTCTGAAAGTTGACCAAATATTTGAAATCGGGCAACGGCGTGTCGAAGACTAGATTGGAGCATTGTATTCTTTTTATTTTTAAAACTTTTTTATATAATCGAATAAACCAAAAATTAAAGTTTAACAAAATACAGCTTCGATTGTTTGAAAAACGGTTATATGTAAACTGCATGTCTGGTGGTCACCTTAGAACCGTCGAGAAAACAATGGGTAATTGCATAACAAGATATCCTAACGTATCCCGTTGTCCCCGCTCACCATGCCTGGGACGCACAATGGCGCCGGCCGCGCCGAAGCCGAGTCACGTTTCCGGACTATTCGAGCTTATAAACGTGTCAACATGTGAATTGATGCTCGTCTTATATATTATGGTGGATGGCAAGGTCATCCAGGGCATATTTTAAGGCACTTACTGCGTCCCATTCTGGGACGTAGCCCCTGCTGATTTGGCCCACTGCGTTCCCTACCCTGTGCCGTGTCCGGTTCCCTAACCTGTGCCCTGACCTGTACCCTTCCCTCTAAAATGTCCTGTGCCATGCCCTGTAACCTGCCGTGCCCTACTTTCTGCCCTCCTCAGTGTCCTACTCTGTTCCTTGCCCTGTGCCCTTAGTCGTAGCGCGTGCCCTCTGCTCAACTTTGGGACGCAGTAAAAATTTGTTAAAATATGCGCTGAGGTCACCTGAAGGTCAGGTCAAGGCCATTGACCTTAACCCTCGCATGCGTGGCGGGGGGGGGGGTCGGATGGACCACCCCCATGGTTTTTCGCGAATAACTCGCGTAAAAAGCGGCCGATAGCGACGACACTTTCAGAACCCTCGAGTTTATCAATTTTACACCTACTCTAAAAATTTCATGACCCTGACCCAAGTGACCTTTGACGTGTGACCTATTTCTCGAGGCCATGTTTGGCCGGAATCGCGATTCGGCGTGTCCGCTCGCATTAGCCGCGCGTTTGCAAGCTTCTCGTGGTTTCAAACGCTCAAACATGAGCTTTGATGTTGCTCCCATGCATTTGGGTGGATGTCAAGGTCACCTGAAGGCTGAAGGTCAGGTCAGGTCATTGACTTTTGGTGACCTCGGTTCACTTTTTCGAGCTGTACATGTTTCTAGGCTAGTTTTTGGAGCTGAATTCGAATTTAGCAACCATTTGAACATTTACGAAGTAGTTTTGGTGCCTTCGTAATATGTTACGAAGCTGTCAGAGGCGGTTGACACGTACTACGAACATCCGTCACGACGCCTACTGTTGACCTGACCTGGTCTAAATGCTTGAAGACATCATAGAATGATCAAAACTGACATGATATTCGTGATCAGCACCCCGAAAACCCCCTTGGCAGCCACTCTTTACGACTTTCTAACAGGTCCCGATTTCCCGACTTTGGGTCATTGACCTGGAAGGTCAAGCAATGACCTAGGACCCCAAAATCGGGTATCATCGGCTTCCTCTCGTCACGGGCAACACGCTCGTTTTTTTCCGCGAAGCTCTAGCTCGATCAGGGGCCAAACGCAAGGGGGTGGGGTCCAACCGTTACCGACCCCCATACACATTAGAAGCTGGCAATCGCCGCACACATGCGAGGGTTAAATGACCTCAGTTCACTTTTTCGATATTTTCAAGTTTTACGAGTAACTTTTGGAGCTGAATTCGATTGAAACACCCATTAAAACGCTTGAGATATAGTGTTGATGTCTATTTAACTTGTTGCGAGACTGAACAGGCACAGGAAAAGAGAAGAGGCTCGACCCTCATCCGCATTAGCGTTTTCCCAGCTGCTAACGTTAAGAGCCTGCCTAGAGTCACCAGTGAGAATAGACCGGTGGGCTGGATTAAACCGCATGCTTACATTTCCATTAGAACACCAACGAGTTAACCGACACGCATCTCTGTGCCACTCCAAAAACACATCACGCACACGGCAACACGTTTATTTACATATCATATGCATCTCCATTCATCGAGACGGCGGGGCCTGCACACCTCCTTACTTCTTCGTATGGAGAATACGGATCTTGGCGCAATGCGCAGCAGCACTCGACGCCGAGTCTCTTACAACAAAAAACTTTAAAAGAGATCCTCTGGTGCTGGTCGTGGCGGCAGCGATGGTGGTGTTGGTGAGAGCGGCAGTGGCGGTGTTGGCGGTGGCGGTGGCGGTGTTGGCGGCGGTGGCGGTGCTGGCGGCGGTGGCGGTGCTGGCGGCGGTGGCGGTGTTGGCGGCGGTGGAGGTGTTGACGGTAGCGGAGGTGTTGGCGGCGGTGGAGGTGTTGACGGTAGCGGTGTTGGCGGCGGCGGCGGTGGTGGTGTTGTCGGCGGTGGTGTTGTCGGCGGCGGCGGTGGTGGTGTTGTCGGCGGTGGTGTTGTCGGCGGCGGCGGTGGTGTTGTCGGCGGTGGCGTTGTCGGCGGCGGCGGTGGTGTTGTCGGCGGTGGTGTTGTCGGCGGTGGTGTTGTCGGCAATGGTGTTGTCGGCTGCCTCCACGTCGGGGCCAGGCACCGTCCCAGCCGCATAGCTAAATCCGCGGAGCTTTGCGACCGCGCTACACTTCCGCAGCTCGTCGGCAGTGAGAGCACCTGAGAAAAGAACATAGAGTTCCGGTCAGGTCACTGACCCGTGACATCAACACTTGGCAGCTCTACAATACCTGGCTGATACAGTCCTCTCGCATCTGCAAGAAGTAGATACGAGTGCCTATTCAAATGCATTCGACAGGTAGTTCAACAAACGCACAATGCGAGAAGAAAAAATGACTGCAGAAACTACCGTGTATTGGAATAGGCACTCGCATCCACTTTCACAGATGCGAAGAGACTGTGAAGTAGTCTATCATCGACCAATGGCTATTATGATGAAGTGTGATCAGCCAGTGACCAGTCTTATGCGTTGGTCACTTCTGCCTGAGTAATAATTTGACGTAGGCCTACGGAGTTCGATACATTTCAGTATATTTAGGAACATTATTCGATGCGAGGGACAAAGTCGCCATTGGGCAAAACTTCACGAGCAAAATTTTACAACTCTTTTCAACTGTTCAATGGCTCCATTTCGATATAATCGGGATAGAGTTGAAATTTCAAGATACATGGGACCAATAAAGAGTAAAAAACATTCGAGGGGGTGCACCAAGTGTACGTGGAACGTGGAGCTGGCCGCTTGTTACTGTAAGCTTTGTGTATTAATAAATAAAATAGCTTGAATTCCGGCGTTTAGGATTATTTCACAAATGTGGGTGAATAATATGTGAATCCATTAGTCTTCTTTGGTGAATGCTGATAGCAAGGTTACTTTTTTTTTTATAAATAATTTGTGTAATGTCGAAAAGTGAAGAATTTCCAGAAACAGATGAGTAATAAAAAACTATGCATTTGTTGTGAGGAATGCCGGGATTGGTTTTGATGTGCGATCGATGACACCTTAGCCGATGATATAGCCAGTGTGTCGTGACATTGCTGTCTGCACTTCACAATTGGCGGGTCGGCATTGGCCAGGTCTACGTGCATGCGGCCCCCTGCGTCGTAGACTTATTGGTGGCCTAGTGACGGTGGTGTGCGGTTTGTGAAGGATAAATGCGCACTGAAAACGTTCCGAATTCCAACGTTCGTTTTCAATGCCAAAAGTGCTCTATAACTTACCATGCAAAAATGCCTTTAGGATGGCCTCTCCATAGGCGTTGAGGACTTTTTTTCCAGTCGAGGCGTCAGTTTCTTGGAAGGACTTCGACAAGACGTCGTCTTCACAAAGGTTAAACTTTGCCGTCGTTTTCCCACCGGGCCGGACGCTCAACACGGCGACTCGGAATCCGGCGCCCTGAAGGCGATACACCTGCGAATACCGATCTTTAATTAAAACACATACAATAAACCACGGAAGAGGATGCAACACATGCCACTGCAAATTGAACTCTAGCAGATATGAGGCGCCCGAATACGGGTTAAGGTTTAAAGGGACTATCCCACCTTCAAAAAAGTACCGTTTAGGATTCGGAAATGTTACTCATGATATTGTGACGAATTCTGCAAGTTTTTACGTGTTTTCATCATATACTTTTTGAGATTTGAGACTTTTATATTTCATCGTGACGTCATTTAGATCGGATCTGTGACGTAATAAAGGATTTACTTCATGTCAATGTGGGGGAAATTTGGCAGCAAATATATTTGCTGTTAAATATTACGCGGCTCATACAATAACAAAAGTGCATCTGATTGGCTTATTCGTAAATCAAGTGATACTTCACTTGAATGCATGACAGGCGTTCAAGAGGCAAATGACGTATCAGATTGCCGTTAACCCGCGCCCTGGTGGGGTCTGTTTATAACGCGACCTGGTGGGGTGGGGGGCTATTTTTGTCCCCCCCCCTCGTATCTCCGAAACTACTGGACGGATCCGGAAAATTCAAACGGCGTTCGATAGCCCTGTCAAATTTGTCGAAGGAAACCAAATTTCATTGACCTCGGGGTCACCGATGACGTCACAAGTCAGGTCAAAGATGAAATATTTCACAGTTCACGGGTCTTCTAGGGAATGCGCTAGAACACCGAAGAAAACGCATTTTGTCGAGAATCAGCGATAGGGCGTCAGTTGCCTAGTACATATGTTGCTATAAGAGGTCACTGACAATACCAATTCAGGTCACAGGTCAGGTCACCAAGGGTCACAGGTCAGGTCACATGAACCTAACCTTAGGTACTAAGGTTGTGCGATGCATGTTTTATGGCCAATTTTTCATTTCCAACTCAATGGTGTTGGTTATAAGACTATCAGGTACGGCTTAGGTCACTTTCTGGTGAAGGTCAGGTCAAGGTCAGGTCAAAAAAGGTCAAATTTTTAAGTTGATAGTTTTGCATAAAATGGGTATTGATTCGATGCAGCTCGTCACAGGGAGTCTAATGGTGGTCTTTGTTTTGCGCTACGGGGCCTAGAATTGCTAAAAATTGAGTTTGAAAATTTGACGTCATCAATTTTGAACAGTTTTTTCGCTATAACTTAGCCAAAAAAGAGGTATCAATCTGAAATTTGGTATGTGGATAGAAGGCGGTAAGAACTATCATATATGTTCCGGTTTTTGCGAAATTGAAAAAAAAAACCTTTTGGATTTTTCGGCTATTATATCCAAAAAATATATTTTTTGATTTTTGGGGGTCAAAATCCAAAAATGTCAAAAATCCGAGATAGCAGTTTTGTAGCCCTGTCAATTCTACAGCTTTTATGTCTTTATCGTTTTTCTGTATTTGCAAAGCTATAGGCCTGACAGCTCTTCCCGCGAAACCTTTTTTTTTGGGTCGAAAACGGCAGAACATGACGTCATTTCCGGCCAACCTATCATAGCCTTTGGAAAAATTTTTGGTCATAATGTGTAAAATTGATGTCCGGGATGGTACTGAAAGTTTGGTGACGATCGGCGCAGCGGTTCTGGAGATATATCGAAAAGTCTGGAGGGGGGGCAAAAAATAGCCCCCCCCCACCAGGGGGCGGGTTAATGGTTGAGATTAGGACTTGCACAGGGAACATTTTCAAATGAAGGGAACGAATTTCTTCAACACCACAAGACTGCGGGGGTTGCGAGGCCTTGCCTGGGACTACCATTGAACCGATTTCGAGGTTGACAGCTCAAAAATTCTTTGAGCCAGAGGACCTCACGTCAAAACGGTTTTCCGACCCCAGCACGTGCAACCTGCACCCCTCGCAGACGGTGACCCCCTGGAAACTGGTTCAAGGTATTACCGATGTGTCCCGCCAGTGTGGCTTTGTCCGTGACCTCGGGTTGACCTGTAGCCTTGAAAAAAATTCGTGTCACCGAAACTTTGAAGCGGGATAGCATGTGCCACGAAGCACTGAGCGAACCGAGGCCAGCACCAAAAGTTTACCTCGCCGGAGACGAGTCGAACGGTACCACTCTGGTCCCGATCGGTCCCAAGTCAGCTGGAGGTACCCCCTCGAAATTTCGCACGTGCAAGGCTCACCCTCTCGCTCGCTCCGTTAGTCGCCCCAAAAGGCGTTATACTGGTGATTACGAGCGAGCGAGCGCAGCGAGCGAAGTGAGTCTTTTCAATATAACGGAAAAATCTCAGTATGAGCGGCCCGGCCCGGCCTGTAACGCTTTTGAAAGGCTTATATCTCAGCAACCGCTGGACCGATTGGCCTGCGGTCTTTTTTGCTGGGTAGCCCCATCCCTTCTACCCCGTAATTGACTACTTTTGATACATCTCAGTGACCGTCGTGGCACGTGCCACGTGAAAAGTCAAGGGTGTTCAAGCTGTTTTGCAAAAGTAGTGATTTTGAGAGGCTCATATCTCAGCAGCCGCTTGGGCGATTGACTTGCGGTAATTTTTATAGGGTAGCTGCATCCTTTCTACCAAAAATAGGATACTCTCGATGCATGTGGGTCACCCCCAGTGCACGTGTAAAATACAACAATAAGAGGTGTCAGATTTGTTCCCATTTTAAAGGGACCCTCCCACCTTCAAAAAAGTTAATGAATTGGCACGAAAGTGATGTCGCTCGGTTCAGAAAGAGCGAAAACGAATATCTACCAAATTTCATCAAAAAATATTCACCGGTTTTCAAGATATTAGACTTTTACTTTTGTTTACTTTTTGGGATCTCCGCTGTTCCTAGCGACTTTATTTGAAAGTGCGGCATTTGTTGCGCGCAAAGCAGCATATACCGCCGCGTGCTACCAAACGTTTTAGTAAAAGATTTAAAAATCGTTAGATCTCCGCTGACGTCACAAATTCTAAGGGGGCATACCAATGCACTAGCCCCTTAGAATCCGAAAACTGCAAGTTTGAAATTCCATATCTCCGAATTAAAGCATTTGTCGATGTTGTGAGTGCCCAAACCGGTATTTGCAGGCCATGGCCACCAATTTGGCTATCTCAACTCAAAACTAATGTTAAGGTGGGAGTGTCCCTTTAATAACTCGGTAATTACTGGGGCGATTTCGCTGAAACTTGGCATACAGGTAGGCACCCACCAGGCAATGCATTCCCATGTGTTGCGGTTGGGGTGCTACTGCACGTGCGCACGTGCAGGGGGCGCTTCCAGATCTCGAGAACGGCTGGGCCGATTGCACTCAAATTTGGTACACGGTTGGGGACCGGTTAGTAGAGTGCCGTGCCAAAGTCAGTTTGGACCCCGTTTGCACGTGCGCACGTGCAGAATGCCGCTCCCAGATCCCAGGAACGGCTGGGCCGATGGCGTTTAAATTTGGCACACCGCTAGCGACCGGTTAAAATAGTGCTTTGCACAAGCCCGTTGGAAGTACCCTTTCGCCCTTCCGCACGTGCAGGGCTCACTATCTCGCTCGCTCGTTCTTCGCCCAAAAGGCGTTTTACTGGTAAGGTATCACTGACCTTACCTTGACCTTTAGTAACCTTCAAAATGTCAACGGCCATTGTGCCAATGTCAAATCAGCCAGTTGTGATTCTAAAACAATCCATCAGTGTGTCAGGTCAGTCGGCATTTATACCAATGTGAAGCAATCTCCAATACCAACTGTTGCGCAAAGGATGTCCCAGAGGGTACTGAAAATTTGAGCAGGCTATCTGAAACGGTTCGGAGTATAGCTAGGAAAAACCTCAGGGGGGGGGGGGTGCACCTACATGGGCGAGGGTGAAGACTTACTGGAGGACTCAAAACAGTCGAAAATGTCTTAAAATGGCTAAGTATGTGTTTCGTTATGCCTGAGGCTAAAAAAAAAAACTGGAGGGCCTATGACATCAATGTGGTCATCAGGACTACCTAGTCCATGTTAGAAATGAAACCCTCGTCGTAACCCTAAAACGGTCCCATAAAGACGAAAGAGAAGGCTTCCGTTTCGTCCCGCTTTGTTCCTATGCAAAAGGCCAGGGCCACCGATTGGTACTCCAGAAACAGTTTTGGGACGCAGAATGCTTCTCCAAGAAGACCTGAAAGGAATCTCAGCGTTCTAGCTCAACTCAAACCGCAAATATGAACACATTTTTGGAGAAGAAAATGGCATCCGGAAGGTCGTAGGCCCATCTTCAAGCGAGACACTGAATCGGTGAACAGGTCAAGGAAAGCTCAAAAGCGGTGCCAGGAGATTGTGACAGGCATCTGTCGCAAGATCACATGTCATGCAATTCATGGGATCCAAAATTTCATGAAAATACTTTGGGGATACTGAAATCGTGGCTCGTCGAAGCGAAGCGCCGTTCCAGCCTCCAGGAGCTCCAGCTAATCGGCGCTCAAATTTGGTACACAGTTAGGGACCGGATAGTAGGGTGCCGTGCACAAGTCAGTTGGGACCCATTTTGCACGTGCGCACGTGCAGGGTGCCGCTTCCAGATCTCGAGAACGGCTGGGCCGATTGTGCCCAAATTTGGCACATCGCTAGAGACCGGTTAGTAGGGTGCCGTGCACAAGTCAGTTGGAGGTACCCTCTCGCAATTTCGCACGTGCAAGGCCCACCCTCTCGCTCGCTCCGTTAGTCGCCCCAAAAGGCGTTATACTGGTTACGGAGCGAGCGAAGCGAGCGGTGTCTTGCGTAGAATAACGGAAATTTTTAGTATGAGCGGCCGGCCGTGGTCACGTTTTTGCGACGCTTATATCTCAGCAACCACTTGACCGATTTACATGCGGTAATTTTTGTAGGGTAGCTTCATTCCTTCTACCAAGTATTGGACAATTCCCGATGCATGTGGATGACCCCTTATGCACGTGCCACGTGCAAAACGAAGAGGTGTCAGTTTTGTAACAATGGCAATATCTCGGTAACTACTGGGCCGATTGCGCTGAAACTTGGCATGTAGGTAGGCGCCCACTAGGCAATGCATTTTTTCGCGAATGGTACATAAACAGTACCACGTAGTGCCGCTAAATTTGAAATAACTAATAAAACATTTTTTTTTTGCACATCTCGCAAGACGAAATTGATCGGAATATGTTGGCCACGGAGATAAGACGCAATGTTTGAGGTCATGTTTGGTCGAAATCAAAGAGATGCGATATACATAAGGGATGCCCGAAACGACACAATGCAGCGCCGCTGTATTCACGCTATCCGCGAAAAAAAATGTACAGGGTTGACCGAATGACCCCTCCCCCACCTGGGGGAAGGTTTAAACAACCCTCCTCGCACTGATGGGTTCAACATACAAACTGTACTGACCTGTTTGGTGATCTGCTTCCAAATCCTGTCCAGGTGGTTATCTGCCCTCTTTTTTCCGGTCTCCAACAGCTTGCGTCGCATTTCCGCGCGGCGAGCCGACCGTTGCCCAGCCAGATCGTATCCACAGGCACCACACGCTGCCTGTCTGCCGTACACGGGCTTCCGGCATCCTGGGCAGCTCCCGGCAACTATAAAATAGAAAAGAAGAGATTTGGGTTTAACTCAGCACCGAACAACTGCAAAACTGCTTGAACAGAAGTTGTTTTGATGAACACAACAGCGTATTGGGCACTTATCTTCTTATAAAGGCTTTCGGGGCGGCGTACACATTGTTCAGGGTCGCTTTCGAGGGCATGTAAAATACTGCCAAAAGAAACTATGTAAGAAAGCTAAGCATACTGTCGTTTCACGTTTCAATCCATTCGAAATCACTACGAAGAGGCAAGTATGTAGTTTAGGTCATCAATCATGTACAGGGTGTCCCGAAATTGACGGCCCTAGATTCAAAACTGTAAATACCTATTCCGACACCTCTTTAATTGTAAAAAGATGCATCAGTGCACTTATTTTTGACCAGTGACCTGACCTGTGACGTCATCGAAGACCTTGAGGTCAATAAAATTAGGTTTCGCTCGAGTTTTTCCAAGGCTACCATGCATCGTTTGAATTTTGACAATCGGCACAGTAATTTCGGAGTTAGGGGGGAGGGCTATTCATAGCCCCCAGCTATTCATAGCCCCGGTCAGCAACTTACCCGGGAATCGGCCATGAGTTAAAAAAAAAGACTGATGTGAGAAATTTTGTCAACGGGAGTTCCTGGATACACTATAAAGGGCATCAGCATTCAGGAAGATACTAGAGGTAAGGAGCAACATTCATCATGACGAAAATCTTGCAGACCAGAGCGCTATTGCATAAACATAAGATTTACGCCACCGGAGTAGATCTTAACTTTTTTACGAAACGGCCATACTCTACGAAACACCGTAAAACCTGTTGCATAAAGGCCGTGACCTACTTCGTAAATATTTGGAAAATCTAGGTATGACGTCATACATGAATGAAAATAGTGCCGGATTTCAGCACGAAATGCAGAAGAATGGTGACAATAATGAAAGCGATTAAAGTTCCAGTGTACTGAAATGTGTGAATCACGTTGTCTGGATAAGTGGTTCAAATCACCTTGAATTGATAGCGACTTTAGAAAACCTTTCGTACTTTTCAATATTCATGCGCCCTCCCACATCAAGCGGCGGTCGGCTTGGTAAACAACATCGATCGTGGCATCTTGGGAGTGTGGGATATTCTAAGATCATAGATAATTTGCCCTCACTATGGGTTTCAGTCGATATTCTACATAAATTTGCATAGAACTGAGTGCACTGTATCCGTCTAGAACAGTGCCGTAGCTGCTACTGCCACCTTTCGCCAATTAAGTAAGCTGAGATTTGTACACTCGCCGTCCGGTGGTTGCTAGGTAGGACACGAAAGTAAACAACATTCCAAAGAAGAATTTCAAGACAAGTGTCCAGCTTGGCTTGCAAGATCGAACAAGATCATCATTTGGTGGCTGAAAATGAAGAATTAAGATAACCAGGGCCCAGACTAACAAGTAAGTTTTCTAGTATAGCGAATGGTTAGTGAACAATTGTCGGTTCATTGGCAGCACACTGCTCACTGCTCAGCCCTTTCAGACCAATCGTGAGCTTTTTCAATAGTTAATGGTTAAAGCTAATGCCGCTACAATTCCTGATCTATATTTTCTTTTGGTGTATTTTGAATTTGGCATCGTGTTTATTAGCCTCAGCCCTCAATTACTCGCAACATTCCAATGTTCTGTCGCTTTTTTCTTCACCATTATCTACAATTAGGTAGGTATGTTGAAATGCCATATCATATTGATATGGTGTCAGGTGTCTTATCATTAAAATCATTTCAAAATCCACAAAATTACGTTTAATTATATATTTGCAAGCAACATGCTTTCGCGCGTTGAATTAGTAGGCACAAAACAGAATGCATTTAAGCTAGGTATTACAAGATGAATGCCTACCTATTCGTCTGTGGGCTTGCGTGATATTTTTCAGTTTCAAACGTAAGCATTAAGGGCATATCAGCATAGCATCTAGATACCTACTGGACTATTCTGAATCTGCCAGTGAATTGCTGATTACTTTCAATTCCCAGGCTTTAATTAAATGACATGGCTAATCAAATTTAATTAAATGGCACTGGCTAAAATTGGCTAATTAAATTTAATTAAATGCATTGGCTAAAATTGGCTTTAAAAAGTCAACTTTACCAGTATAGCAGGGCACAGTCACAGACCTTTATGCTTGCATTCAAAGAAGGCTGAGAGCGAGGAGATACATGGTGTCATAAAAAGTTCATTATTCGCTCGATTTACTTTTTCCGCCTCTGTCTATATGTATCGCCTCTTTCCTGATTCCCTCAGTCCTCTCTCCTATTTCATGCTCTGTCAGCCACTTTGCCTTCGAAAATGATCTCCTCTCAATCCATTCGTTCTAGTCTTTCTGATACTTACCGACATCTTTATTTCTGTTTCAGGAATTTCTATCCGACTTCGTGGAGCACTGGCGGTCCCAGGGGGGGGGGCCACGGGGGCCATGGCCCCCCTTTGGTGCTGAAAGGTGGGGCCATACTATCTTTTGGCCCCACCTTTCAGATCGAACAAAAGTCCTAGAAAAGCTTTTTGTATGTTTCATTTTCTTTCTTGCGCCATCAAAGGACGTAAATTTCACTCATGAGTGGGGTAAGTTTCGTATTCTGTCAATTTGGCGGTCAGCGTCGCTGGCATCGGTTCACGAGTATGGCCGCATCTTACATGAAATATCAGCGTGGGTTTACTTGAGGCTCTCGTAGGCCCAGCAATGGCTGGCATGAGACCTCTTCGGCAGTGGCGGGTGGGCCCTGCCAAAGGAGCGTGGCTCTAAGACACTAAAGTAAGACCTCATGGGTTGGTGCTGTGCACCTCAGAAGCCCGGTGGTGACGCCGTATGCCGGCTTGGTTTCTTAAGGATTAGCGTGGGATCTCCGGGGCCTGCATAGAGTTTGCATTAGCTAGTATGTAATTTCAGAGGCCTGTATGTAATGTGTACACAGTGGCGGTCGCGGGGGGCATCAGGGCCATGCCCTCCCAGTCCCAAGGCACATAAAGGGGGCCATCATATCATTTGCCCCCCCCCCCCCTCAAGCAACCGATGGGCCCCCATAGGTGTATGGGACCCTGGCCCTGATTCGATCGTCACGAGGCTAAAAAAACACGCCCACACCGGTCTTTGAGCGTCCAACACTGACCTCTGAGGGAACTTCAGTGGCGGTCAAGCGCCCACGTTGACCGCTAAGAGCCCACATCGACCTCTGAGGCCCCACATCTGACCTATGAGGACCCCTTACCGGCCTCAGGGGCCCCAACCGGCGTCTGAGGGTCTCACACCGGTCTCTAGTGGCCTTATTGCTGTCTCTGGTGTCCCAAGACGAACATTTAGGTGCCAATGAGGGCCCCGCATTGGCTGCTGAAGACCCGATGCTGGCCTCTAAGGGCCTGCATTGGCCTCTGAGGAGGGCTCATCTTGGCCTTTGAGGGCCCTCTGCTGGCCTCTGGGTTCCAACGACGGCTCATTCCGGTCTTTTAGGGCCCCACGCTGACCTCTGAGGGCCCCATGTTGGCCTGTAATGAGTAGGACCCACATAAGCCTCCGAGAGCCCAACTCGGTCTCTGATAGTCTCAAACTACTGGCCTTTGCAGTTTGCAGGCCCTGTACTGGTCTCTGAGGGCCCTAAACTGGCCTCTAAGTGAAAACATACATGGGTGGGCTTCTGAAGATCACAGGGCTCACGCAGACTCCTGCACAGCCGTACGTTGGTCCTGATCGAGATTACTTTACGTCCTGATGGTCCCGCGCAGATTCCCTCATATTTCGACGTCGGGACCCCATGAGCCGGTGTTGGTCCTGGGGCTGGCAGAGACTGATGAAGTCTTTAGGGCTCAGGGCCAGTCTTTTTAGCAGTAGGACTATAAGGCAGGCTGAGTGAGCCCCAATAGAGCCGTTGCGAGGCCCCGCGCGAGCCGTGCGCGGCCCTCAGATGCCAGTTTTGAAAACCAGGAACCTGTGGGGCTGGGGGTCTCCAGAGGTCGGTGTACCTATTCTCTCCCGCCGCTAAACAGCTATATGGGTAAATGTCGTAGTCTGAAAATGATCTCTGGGTTTCACATGCTTGTTCAAAGCAAGAGGTATCCGTACTTTTCCGAATTGTTTTATTCTGGTAAGGTCATGAATCCGCGTGCCCGACCCGACCTTCCAGTATATGCTACACCGATCCGTCGCCGTGGTGCAGTGGCCCGACCGGTGGAAACACCGTGGGACGGGAAATGGAACTGGTGCCTTTGCCTTAAATGCTTAAAGATTTCACGCAAGAATGAGGTGGATGAAGCATAAGTAATGCCAACTGCGCGGCGCCTCGTGGACGTAAAAAATTAGCCGATCACCCCCCCCCCCCAGTGACTGATAAATGTTATGTCCCGCGAGTGTGACTTTGGCCCCCCCTTTTGCGAGCGGCTGCGACCGCCAGTGTCGTGGAGGAGTCTTCTGACCACGGCATTCGGCTGTTCTACATGAAGGTTGAAGAATCCCGCTGGGTTCAGCCGACAGAGGGCTCTGATAAATCGCCGATAGATGGCGGCTGCTACGCCAAGAGTCACTACCTTCGTTGAAATCGTCCTATCAGCAGCGTCTTATCCCGGTGTTGGCGCACTCGGGAAAAGTGAGGCTGTGCAAGCTCAGCATCATTTGTTCCTTTTTTTAAAAAGCGCTCTTCGTGTTACGATTACAGTGACATGTCAAGTTTACGTGGGTCTCTAGCTCAACTTGAATCGCGGCCGTATTGGTGCACAGACGTTCTCTGAATACGTATGGTACATACGTGCTAGAATCTGAGGCGAGTGTGTTTGGATGTTCACTAAAATCGTCAACGGAATGTGGGAACCAGAAATAAACATCGACACGGCTGATATGTTTGATGACTAATGCGTCTGCAGTTCCTCAAACGAGCTACGAGCGTGGTCTAACGTCAGTCACCACCGTTGTAGTACAATTGTCGGGTACGACTATGCTTATATCATGCTATCGCATTGGTTGAGAAATGAGAGGTGCGGTTGCAGTCTTTC